AAACTTCCATCAAAATCTGAAAAATATTCCTTCTTCCCACACGTGTTTTCTACATCCCGAGTCAAGGAACCACATATCTTCTCTATTGGCCTTATTCATATTCACATAAGCTATCAGCAACATCTCTTCTTGAGTCTCTGCATAGCTTGCCTCCTTCTCCTTACTTTGACATTCTCATTGAAAATGTCATAGTTTGTGACAATTATAGCACTCCACTATGACCCTGTTGAAGGTTTGTCTGCCTCATCCCCTTCCTTTGCCTCTAAAACTTCCACGATCTTGACCCCTTCCTCTAGATTGTTCACCATGAGAGATCTTCAAAGCGTGTTCTTCTTCAACATGAGAACTCATGCGTTGTTCATTCATAAGCAGGCTGTTTTGCAACTCATCAATGATTAAGATGGTTGTATCCTTGGACTCCTCAATGGAACACACAATATAATCAAACTTAGGAGTCATAGATCTCAGAATCTTTACAACTGCTTCAACATCTCCCTTGTTCTCACCATTTATTTTCATCTTGTTGGCTATGCTAAGGGTCTGAGCAAAATACTCATTCACAGATTCTCCTGCCATCATGTGAAGCATTTCAAACTCCTTCTGAAGAGCTTGCAAGTGTGCACGCTTTAGCCGTGTCGAACCTTGATATTTCTACTTCATAGAATCTCATATGTTCTTTATTGTTTCCTTGTTAAGGATTGTCTCCAAGATCGAACGATCTAATGCTTCAAATAGATAATTCTTTGCTTTCAAATCTTTTAACTTCTGATCTTTAATGTGCTTCTCCTGAGCATCTGTGAAAACGATGTCTTAGAACATATGTGAAAACGATGTTGTAACGACCCAAAAAAAAATTAAATAATTAAAATAATTAAAATAATAATTTTCCCTAAACTACTCTCCACTAGCCCCTCCTCCCTCTCCCAACTATCTCTCATCAACCAACTCATCAGTCAATATCCCAAATCAGAATACTGGATCATCGGTGGTTCCTACAATGAAAAAAAAAATACAAACAACCAGATTTACGAGGAGAGCTGGAGATTTAATTTGGAGAGAGATCTTGTTGTTATTACGGTAAGTCATGTTTCAGATCTCTGATCTCTTTTTCATTTATCCAGATCAGATTTCTTTTCGTTTGTCTAATTATTCATACTTAGATCCCTCGTTTTCCTTCCCAGTTATTTAGATTTTTGGTTATGATGTTAGGTCATAGAAAAATAACTAGAACGGATCTTCTTTTCCTTTGTCTAATTATTCAGAAAATAACTAAAACAGATGAGACAAATATTTGTCAACAGAACCGATAGAAAAATAAATACAAAATAGAGAGTAAAAGAGAAGAATCGAAACAAAAAATTAACAGGTAAATAAGAAAGGAAAGATGAAAGAAGAAAGGAAAGATTTAGAATGAAAATTTATCTGTGAATTTTAGATTTTAACAAAATTAAAGAAAGAAAAAAAATAAAATACATATAAGATAAGATAAAGGAAAGATTTGGAAAGAAGAATAATTAGAATACAAAAAAATATGAGATGACCGTAGAGAGGCCAAAGTACTTAACAAAATCAAAAGAAAAGACAATATATATATATATATATGTATATATATATGAGGCCAAATACTGTAAACAAAATCAAAAGGAAAGAAAGAAAAGTAGAAATGGAGGGAAAAGAAAAAAAATAAAGAGCAGGAAGTAAAGAGAAAATACAAAGAGCAGAGAAAGAAGTAAAAGAGAAAATACAGAGAAGAGAAGTCATACAGAGAAGAAAAAAATAAAGAGAAGTAAAAGAAAAAAATACAGAGAAGACAGGAAAAAAAAGAGAAGGCATACAGAGAAGAAAAAAATAGAGAGAAGTAAAAGAAAAAAATACAGAGAAGACAGAAAAAAAAATAGAAAAGGCAGCTAAGAACTAAAAGAGAAAATACAGATAAGGCCAAAATAGAAAATCAAAAGAAAAAAATAGAGAGGAAAGAGAAAAATAAAAGGGAAGAGTTGGGAGTAAGAATGGATCCGAATTGACCAACAATATGATTAAGTAAGAATCGATTAAAAATTGGTCAAGAATATGTCTTGAACAAAAATGGAGAGAAAAAGCAGAGTAAAGAAATAATATCAAAAGACAAGAGAGAAGTCAATCGAAATAAAAAATAGAAAATGAAATCTTAATATAAATAGAATATATATATAATATGTGTATATCTATTTAGAGGTATATTACAACGTTCCAAAACTTTATCTATGCAAAGTCTTTAATGCTCGCATGAAGTTTAGCACATGAACCATTGTAAGAGTTAGAGAATTTAACATGAAATTGATGCCATGGATTCTTATAGGTTGGCTTGGATACAAAGGGAAAAATCGAACTTTCATTAAAGATAAATTGGTGACAATCGTATAAGCTAATCAGGTAAGTGACCTTACTATAGGATAGGCTAAAAATTGTATGAGTTACGATGTTGTATGAACTATGGCGTACGATGCGGTATATGAGTTATGATGATGTATGACTTATGATGATGTGTGGGTTATGATACCTGATGATGTGCTCAGTATATATATATATTTTGATGAATTGCGTACTTTATATGTTTGATGCACTTTGTGGCAATATGATGAGTATGATGATTGCGTGACATTTACCTTAATATGAGGATGTTTTCCATATTGAGCATGCTATATGATGATGAGTGCCATATTGCATCATGTCGTTAGATCGACGTAGGACACAACCTTAAGAGCGTGAAAATGATATTAATATAAATATCCACGAGTATATGTTACCTAGAGTAACAAAGAGATGAGACTAGAGGGTTGTGTCAGAAGAGACATTATGATGGATTTAGAGGAACCTCATGCATATTGTATGTTCATAAGCATAAGGCTACTTCCCCTAGAGATGATGAGTGCGGACGCGCACCGTATGATGAGCGCGTATGCGCACAGGTGCGAAAGCACACAGATGAGGGTGTTCATGAGGTGCATGACACTATGGGGTTCTGCTGACCTCCGGACATCGCTACAGATTAGCTTGACCAGAGGGTCCAGGGGGTGTGCGAGCGCCCTGGGGATTCACACTCGCACGTGTGAGTCGTGTGTAGGGAAGTACTACACATCCAATTTGTCCGAGACTGGAGGCCACCCCTAAGATGATTAGAGATACGTCCCTAAATCATGATTGCATGTGTTTGTATTTGCATGGCCCCCTATAGTGGAGCCACTTACTGAGTATTCTTTGAAATACTCAAGCCGTGTGTCACATCATTTTTCAGGTAAAGGCAAGGCGCACTTGTACGGAGGACGGCGGCATCATGAGTAGAGACTGTGGCACGTGCATAGGGTAGACTCATATTTAAATTTCTAGTCTTTAGTTAGAATAGGTTGTTTTGCATTTCATTGTATTAAATTATTTTGTATTTGTTTTTGTTTTCTCTAAATTTCAGTACTTCATATTTAAACACGTAAGACCATGACTGTGTTTTCGAGAGAAGAAGTTGTTTTAAACGTTTTTTTTTAAGTTTACGTTATCAATTATGTTCATGTAAGAGTTATATTTCCGCATTATAGATGAGCATGAGACGTTAGTAGCGACTCTGAGTATGTGGAAATTTAGGGTCGTTACAGATGTCTTCTGTTGCTACAGGAATCCCATTCTCCACCAAACCCCAGTACTCCTTTGAATGCAAAAAGTTTTTCATGAGCATCGGCCAATGATCGGAATTGCAGGCTGCACAAATGAACTCTCCATCGACATGCTTTTATTATGACACACGTAGAAGACTCCTACTTCTAGTTTTAACTTGGCTCTGATACCAAATGTTAAGAACAGTAAACTGGAAAGATTAGAAAAATCTGGAGAAATCTCTCAAAATGTATTGAAGAATGAAATTGGTTATTAGATAGCGTTATATAATACACGGAAAACAAGGAAAAGCACACTCTAACAACTCCTACCCTAGTGATATATGTCTAAATATGGTATGACTAAGCAAGTCTAAATCAAATCTAAATCAATCAAATAACTAACTCAAATAATCAAATCCCTTAACATGAAAATATAATAAGTAAATTTAACTGGTACACTAAAATGTAAATGGTTTTTTATAGGTCTTAAAACCCATCGTTTCAATTACGTTTTAGATGTAGGTTTTTTTGCTCCAATCTACTGTTTTTCTCAAACACAAAAGGTTATACATAGAGATATTTCAAGAATTCATAGTTGATGTACCTATTTGTTCAAGGAGAATCATAATTTTCCAATTACAGAATTGTTACTTTACTCCACCATACACATCGATCACTTGAAACACACTTTTTCTAGATTTTTCTTCTTGATAATAAAAATATAATTGTTAAATAAGGTGGAATGATTTATCAAAATATATAGAATAGAATAGAGCATTGCTCAGAAAGCTATTTCGTGGCAATCACAAGCTTGTAGGAACCAATTTATTAATTTTTTTTTTATTTTTTATAGAGATTTGTAATCGAAAGGAAACGGTGTTTGTTTTCCATTAAGGAAGACAAAAATGTTGTAAGATTATACATATTATTATTAGTTTACAAATGTTTTTTTTGGTAAAACCAATTATTAGTGCAACATGGGTGTAATTAGCATAATAATATAATGTGAAACAGCGAAAGGGAACAATCCACAAAGTTGCCGTTTTTCTATCTTTTATTCCCACCCTTTGTCAAATCCCAAAACGTCATCAAGAACCCAAGGAACCTAACAAAACCACATAGCCCACAGAGGGATTATAATTAATTAATGGTTTTCTTTGCCACTACGAATACACCATGGCCAGTCAGAATTGATATCCAAGGTCAACGCATGGGAGATTTCACAAGGTCAACGCATCCACCTCCAAGTTGACATTTTTCTGTCGTTCTTCTTGTTGTTTTTTAAATGCCAAAGGAACCCAAGGCAGACAACAAAACCACAGACGGTATTCGTCGCCCACAAGGACTGCCTAATTATATTTATACTCCTAATGAATGCTTTAGCTTATACCCACTATAAATACACCCTTCCAACTCTAAACATTCATCCCTCAAAATACAAACCAAAACAACATCTGATTCTTCAAACTCATGTCAAGTACCGCCGGTCGTGTCATCAAATGCAAAGGTTCGAACCCCATTTTCAACCGTTGAAACTTGTTTAATTTTATCCTTTTATTGATTCGATTTCAAGTTATGCTAATTGTTTTGGTGCAGCTGCTGTGGCATGGGAAGCCGGAAAGCCACTGGCGATCGAGGAAGTGGAAGTGGCACCTCCTCAAGCTAATGAAGTCCGTGTCAAGATTCTCTTTACTGCCCTCTGCCACACTGATGTCTACTTCTGGGAGGCCAAGGTAAACAATTTCAAACATGTTTTCTTAGCTTGTGGGTCTTCTCAAAATGGCCTCTTTCGTGTTCTGCCAGGGCCAAACACCCCTGTTTCCTCGCATTTTTGGACATGAAGCTGGAGGGTATGTTTCAGATCTTCTCAATCTTTGTTTATGTTGTGTATGAAGTATTGAAGTTAATTAATTAGATGGTGTGTTGGGCAAATCAGAGTTGTGGAGAGCGTAGGAGAGGGCGTGAAGTATCTGAAACCGGGGGACCATGTGCTTCCAGTGTTCACAGGGGAGTGTGGAGAATGCCGACACTGTAAGTCGGAAGAGAGCAACATGTGCGATCTTCTACGAATCAACACCGACAGAGGAGTGATGCTAAGCGACGGGAACACAAGATTCTCCAAAAACGGACAACCAATTTACCACTTTGTGGGAACCTCAACCTTCAGTGAATACACAGTTGTTCATGAAGGCTGTTTGGCCAAAATCAACCCTGCTGCTCCTCTCGACATTGTGTGCGTTCTTAGCTGTGGCATTTCCACTGGCCTTGGTGCCAGTTTGAACGTTGCTAAGCCTAAAAAGGGCTCCTCCGTCGCTATCTTTGGATTGGGCGCCGTCGGCCTAGCTGTAACTAACTCCTCCCTCTACTCTCCTTCTTTTATAATACTCTTCTCTCATTAATCATATCCATTTCAGGCTGCTGAGGGTGCAAGGATTGCTGGGGCATCGAGGATCATAGGCGTTGATCTCAATTCAACTCGATTTGAAGAAGGTACATAAATTATCTTAAGAAGTTTCCTATTTAATGATATGCTTATCTTAATTATTTGAATCCACAGCTAAGAAGTTCGGTGTGAATGAATTTGTGAATCCAAAGGATCATGACAACCCAGTCCAGCAGGTTAGTTTTGTTTTGTTTGATGAACCAGTTTTAGGGTAATAACCAATTAATTTGATTTAAAAAAAAAAAAAAATGAACACAGGTGATTGCCGAGATGACCAATGGAGGAGTGGATCGAAGCGTTGAATGTACAGGAAGCATCCAAGCAATGATCTCTGCGTTTGAATGTGTTCATGATGTAATTAATTTAATTGTTACAGTTTCAATTATTTGTTAGATAGATATCTGTTTAATATTAATTAGTGGATGATATGATATGTTATCAGGGGTGGGGCGTTGCTGTGCTTGTGGGGGTTCCAAACAAAGATGATTCATTCAAAACGCATCCAATGAATTTGTTGAATGAGAAGACTCTGAAGGGTACGTTCTTCGGGAACTACAAGACCCGTTCCGACATTCCAAATGTGGTGGAGCAGTACTTGAAGAAGGTTAGATATTAATCATGTCCTTCGTTCATATATATATATATATTAACTGAGACAACCATATTCACATTTCATTGATTAATAGCTTCGAATATATATTAATATCATGGCAGGAGTTGGAATTGGAGAAGTTCATTACTCACTCTGTCCCCTTTTCTGAGATTAACAAGGCATTCGACTACATGCTACAAGGACAGTCGATTCGGTGCGTCATTCGAATGGAGCATTGATATGTTTCCAAACCCCTTTGTGTTCCTCCTCCAAAAACCAAACAAATAATCAAAACAAAACAAAACATGTTCTTTGTTCTCTTTTTTCCTCTTCTGGTAACGAAGTGTTTTTCTTCTGTTTTGTTGTTTCTATAATTTTAACTTGGGTTGTACATTTGAGTGTTGTGGATGTAATTACAGTTTGTTGAGTAATGTATTAATTCAAATATATTTCTTATGTTCCATTCAATTAGTTTCATCATAAATTTAATTGTCATAATAACCATATCTTTGCATTAATTTATTATCAATAATATGTGATTACATATATGATAGAAACCTTATAACACTCCACATTAAAAGCTTAAATTCAAATCGATATAAATAGATTTACTCTGATGATCAATATCAAGAGTAAGAAAAACTTATTTCTAAACCTAAAGTTTGAATCTCTCGACAAATAGATTGATCTACATTACTCGAATGATCCTAACATACAATTATAACCACAAGAAATGCAAAAAACACGAGATATCACTTTTGTAAGCAAAAGATGCAACTTTAGTTCAAAACCATAATATGAATTTACGAAGTAATTAGTGTTTGGATTTATGCCCTAAAGTCTCATTAATTATTTTTTATTTACAATTTACATTACCCTTTATTTACAATTTACATTATAAATTCTAGGTCACGTAGGGTGACGTTGAACCATATATTATTGACATAGGAGAGAATATTCATATTTAAAAAAAAAAAAAAATCTAAAGATTCTATAGTATATGATAAGATTGGAAGCCTTATCTTGGTCATGCTTTTTAAAGGGTGTATTTTTTTATAGTCGAGTTCCAAACCCTTTGACTTATTTTTATGTTAGTTATGTCTTTACTAATCATGTTATGTTAATAAAGGTGTGTGACCATTGTTCAAAATCTAGGCTAAAATGCCTCAAAATGTACTTTAGAGAGATGTGACTAGTCTTTTATTCTTCATACGGAGGTTACACTATCAAAGTTTGGTTATTGCTTTATTGCTTTCTTATAAACCGATCTCTAAATGGTTTCTAAAACTTTATCTATCCCTAATTCTAAAATATTTTCTAAGGAACGAGGTCGAAGGCTTAAGCATGCTTCATTCTTGCCAACAACGACCCAAACTTGAGGGTGAGAATAAGTGTCGCACAATCGCATTGTGAGTCCTGTAGAGTGCGATTGCAATAGTTGGTATTAGAGCCGAATCGACTTCTTGAATCTGAGTTAACAAACATGTACGCTCCAAAACAACTAGGCAAGTCCTAGATTGATTGGCTAGTAAAGATTAAAATTAGTTTCTCTGTCTAAATTAAGTTCATAACAAAATGGGACTTTTAGAATCTTGCATTAATGAGATTGCCACTAAAGCTGACAAGATCAACGAAATGGCAAGCCGCTTGGAAGAAATGCCCATCCATGCATTAATGTTAAGGGTCATGAAATTAGAAGACAAGGTCACAATAACTAGTGGCTTCGAGCATGAGGATAGCTCGACTAGCTCGAGCCTAGACAATGCCTAGAAAATATCTTTCAATTGGTTCATGAAATGTTTGAAGACATAAGAGCAACTCTAATCACAAAGGTGTCACTCTACCCTTTCAAGCCAAATTTAGAATGAAATCTTTGAAAACTCTCACCGGCCCTAAAGTGCTTATCTGATCTTGAGAAGAGAGGGAGAGATAGAAGAGCTAGTGAGGGGTCTTGGTTAGTCTGTCTACGACTACCCAGATTACGTTGAAACACTGTTTGGTCTTTGGCAAGTCCGAGACAAAGTCCATACAAATTGCTTCCAATTTCCACTGAGAAACATTCAAGGGTTGTAGAGTCTTGCTTGGCGCTATCTCGGGGCCTTCACCTGCTGGCAGGTCAAGCATCGACTTACGAAATCCACTATGTCCTTCATCTCTGGCCACCAATAACATCCTTTCAGATCCTAATACATTTTCGTACTTCTAGGGTGGAACATGTATGATGTATCTTGGGCTTCAGTCAAAATGTCAATTAGGATTTTCTCGTCTTGGGGAACACACAAGCAGTTTTGCCATAGCAGGCCCCCATCTGAAGTGATAGAATACCCAGCTGGTTTCTCTGTCTCTATCTGACTCCACACTGTATTGAGGTGTTCATCAAACCTCTTGGCGTCAATAACTTGTTTTCGTAGGGTGGGTTGCATGGTCATTTGTGCTATCTGAGCGATACCATCTCTAACTATAACATCAATTCTAGCCCTCTTCATCTCATCTTGTAATCTTTCCTTTTGATGATCATCGTGGAAGTATGAATGACCTTCCTACTCAATGCATCACCTACAACATTAGCTTTGCCTGGATGGTACAAGATCTCGATATCATAATCCTTTACCAGTTCCAACCATCTCCTTGTTAGATAAAAGCCCTGTAATTTTTCTTTATTTAGTTTATTCACGTCTTTCCTTGAATTACTTGGTTGAATTTTTGTTAGACAATTTGACCCATCTATGTATAGTGGAGTAGAATAATTTTAGCTAGCTATTTGAGTCATGTTTAGAGGGGAGTGGGCAATCAAATAAGGAACATCATTAGAGTGTTTTTAGCAACAACATAACCTAAGACTTTGGGTTCTTTTACTCATTTTCTTCCAAGTTTTTAGTTCTCTTCCTCTTTCTTTTTTTTTTTTTTTTTTTTTTTTGATTTCTACGTGATCTCACTGAGCTGCTCAGTCAAAAGACAGTAAGTGGTATCAGAGCCTGGTTCAAGGTAGAAGAAGATGCACCAAAACACGAAGACGCACATGTCGTAGGGTTCATACCGGACAGGCTCACACACTCCTCTACGCCGCGGCTGAGCGCCGACGTCTCCATCACCGCCACCAAGAGGTCGGCGCCGAGAAGATGGACGTCAAATCGTCGTCGAGCGCGTGATCAAGGAGACGATCGCCTCTGTACAGTACTCGATGCTAACAAGATCCAACTATACCGTGTGGGCTTTGTTGATGTGTGTCAACCTGCAAGCGCAAGGGTTGTGGCACGCCGTCGAGCTGGAGGAAGGAGAAGCGATCGAGTACCGGGAAGATTGGCTGGCGTTCACGGTTAAATAAAAGCCTGTAGTTTCTTTATTTAGCTTTTACATGTTTTTATTTAGTTTGTTGAATATTTTCTTTTGACCCTTTGACATAAGTGGTAGTGGCACAAATTTGATTTAGGCCATTTTTAAGGATAGAATAGTTATAAATTGGTGAATCTAGTAAGAAAAAGATGATGTGTTTTTCAGTCAAATCCCAAGCCTCACGTACTCTTCCTATTACTGTTATTTTATTCCGCTTTTTTCTTCACCCAACAATTTCTTCGATAATTTTTTCTTCGTAAGATTTCCTCACCAGCGCTCAGTTAAAGATAACATTCGCTGTCATATTGCGAGCTATGCCTCTAGAGATGCTAGCGTCTCTCTCCACCAAGAGCACCGCACAATTGGCCTGAGAGGGGATCAAATCCCATCGGGTTGGTGTGCAACGAGTGCAGGAGTCCAACATCGAGCAGCTGCAGAAGGAGTTCTCGGAGATCTGCTTTAAGGATGGACGAATCCATCGTGATTTTTTCATGCGAATCACGGGGCTCGCCAACAACATCACCACTCTCGATGGGAGCATCAGCGACGTGGAGATCGTGAAGAAGATGCTGCAAGTCGCCCCAGATCACCTTGAGCAAGTCGCAATTTTGATCGAGACATTTCTTGACATGACGACCTAACGGTAGAAGAGATGACCGAAACATTGCGCAACGTCGAGTAGAGGAAGAAGAATGTCGCTTCAGTTGTCGACAAGTAGGGTCGTCTTCTCCTCACTGAGGAAGAGTGGTTTGCACGCCTAAAGCTCTACGACAACTCCGACGAGGGCAGCGGGTCCTCCAGTGACAAAGGTAGCAAGAAGTAGTGGAAACCTCGCGGGCGCGCGTGCAGTAAAGAAGGGGAGCAGAAGAAGGAGTCGGCTGATGGCAGGCTAATCCGGTGCTCGAACTATGGGAAGAAAGGCCACCTGGGCAAAGATTGCTAAAGCAAGCCCAAGAACAAGGAGAAGGCCCATGTGGCCCAATTCGAGGAGGAAAAGTCGGCGCTTTTCATGGTGAGCGCATCGGTGTCATCTGTCATCCCCAATTATGATTCTAAATCCACAGAAGCAATCAACGGCGGCGCTGCTCTAGTGAGCGTCGTCGATGAGGAGTCAATAGATCTCGAGGAAGAGCTCCAGCTGGGCGTGGCAGAGGCACCGACTGGGGAACTGATTCAGCTGAAGGATGAGCGGCGAAAGGGGCAAGCAGCGTGAGCACTGGCGATGGGTCCTCAACACGGGGACAACATACCATATGACAAGGTCCAAGTTTGCGTTCTCTGAGCTTGGCTCGGGGATTCGCGGGACGGTGAAGTTTGGCGACGGCTCCATCGTCGAGATCGAAGGGCGCGGCACCATCCTGTTCGTCAGCAAGGAAGGCAAGCACCGACCGGCGTCTACTTCATCCCAAGACTCAAGGCTAACCTTGTGAGTTTGGGTCAACTCGATGAGGTCGGCTGCTACATTTTCATAGAGTGCGGGCTAATCAAGATTTGCTCAATCAGTCGTGTTACGGTTATACATATATGTTAGTACATCCAAATAATAGTGAAAACTCAATCCGATTGATCTTTTGAGTCCGCTTCAAGACAGGATAACTAGTCAACCAATCTTGGGATAAAGGCTTGCACCCTATGTTTATTTCTGCTCAATTCTTATACATAGAAAATGAGACTCAATATTTTGACTAATTTTAATTTATCTAAGTTGTTTTCTTTCGCTCATATAACTATCTGATTTAACTAGTTAAGACTTGTGTTTCAACGTCATGGAACATCTCTTTTTCGTAAGAATAAAATACATAATTATTTTGTTAAAGTTGTTGGAGCACACCAAATATTTCATCCCGACTTAAAACAAAAGAATATTCAAAATTCTGCAACAATGAATGAATGGAAAAATTGGTTAAGGGGTCATTATCACTACAATTTATATTCGATTAGATGGGCAAAATTATTCCCACAAAAATAGCGAAATAGAAATAGAGTAAAGAAAGATGGTATGGTAAAAAATAAAAATTTTAAATAATGTTATTCATATGAACAAAAACGGATTAATTAATTACAAAACAAAATGATTTTTTTTTTGGACTCGGTGGAGTTTGATGTAACCTTGAGTTTGAAAGCATGCATAACTGCAAGAGCAAAAAAAAAAAAAAAAATCAGAGATAATTATCATAGGACTTCAACCTTCATAAACTTTATTATCATAGGACTTCAAAATATATATATATATATATATATATATGTAACAAAAATATCATGATGAACATCAAACTCTGAATAGAGGTTTATTAGTTTCACAGAGTGAAGATATGCATACAAAAACCAAGAACAACATGAAAGTTCCCCTCCAACAAAGCAAAACACAAAATTTCAGAACTCAAAATCAATCCACAATCTCACATCCTAATAATACACCTAATTGACTCCCCCTTCAGCATGTACTCGAATGCCTTGTTGATCTCAGCAAATGGCACTGTGTGTGTTATGAACTTCTCCAATTCCAGCTCCTTCACCAAACAAACCAAACCCCCCTCAGCAACAATCAAACAACTCTGTCATCTCTGCAATACTAAAATAACAGGCATCTTACCTTCTTCAAGTACTTCTCCACCACCCCGGGAATGTCGGTTCGAGTCTTGTAGTTCCCAAAGAAAGTCCCCTTCAGAGTTCTCTCATTCAGGAAATTCATGGGATGAGTTTTGAACGCGTCGTCCTTGTTCGGCACCCCGACCAGCACCGCAACACCCCAACCCTGTCAACCACACAACAAGTTTGTTTCATATTCCAGTTTGGCATATGCAACATTGAGCATGAGATTTGTAAGGAGTTACATCGTGAACACATTCGAATGCCGAGATCATTGCTTGAATGCTTCCGGTGCATTCGACGCTCCGGTCGACTCCTCCGTTGGTCATCCCGGCAATCACCTCCTGAACAGGCTTGCTATGATCCTTTGGATTCACAAACTCGTTGCAACCAAATTTCTTTGCTGCAATTGTTGGGAAAAATAACATCATAATCCATCCTAAACTATGAAAGGCCTTATAATTTGACTGTACCTTCTTCAAATCGAGCTGGGTTCAGATCAACACCAATGATCCTGGATGCCCCCGAAATTCTTGCACCTTCAGCAGCCTTACATCCAGAGAAAATTCAGTGATTCAAAATAATGAAAATCAGAATCTGAAAGTAACTTACTGCGAGCCCAACAGCTCCAAGTCCGAAAATTGCAACAGATGAGCCCTTCTTAGGCTTTGCAACATTCAAAGTGGCACCGAGTCCTAAATTACAAACCAAATTGGGTTAATTCATGAATTCATGCTAGCGTAGTATTATAAAAACAGGGCAAAAAGTTGTGGAAACCTGTGGATATTCCGCAGCTAAGAACACAAACTTTGTCGAGGGGGGCAGCTGGGTTGATCTTGGCGAGACAGCCGAAGTGAACAACGGTGTATTCGCTAAATGTGGAGGTTCCAACAAAGTGGTGAATGGGCTGTCCTTTTATGGAGAACCTTGACTTGCCGTCACTGATCATAACACCACGGTCGGTGTTGATCCGAAGAAGATCGCACATGTTGCTCTCTTCCGATTTACAATGGAGACAATCCCCGCATTCCCCAGTGAACACAGGAAGAACGTGGTCTCCTGGTTGCAGATCCTTCACACCCTCCCCTACACTCTCCACAACTCTGATAACATAACATAACACAACACAACATCTCAGAAACAGAACAACCTTAACACAACACAACATCTCAGAAACAGAACAACCTTAGCACAACACAACATCTCAGAAACAGAACAACCTTAGCACAACACAACATCTCAGAAACAGAACAACCTTAACAACACTAATCCTGAAACTGTCTCAAATTCATTCAAACACTTACCCTCCAGCTTCATGTCCAAAAATGCGAGGAAACAGGGGTGTTTGGCCCTGACAGAACACAAAAAGAATCCATTTTGAGAACACCCACAAACTAAAAATATATGTTTCAAAACATGTTTTAAAAATTGCTTACCTTGGCTTCCCAGAAGTAGACATCAGTGTGGCAGAGGGCAGTGAAGAGAATGTTGACACGGACTTCATTAGCTTGAGGAGGTGCCACTTCCACTTCCTCGATCACCAGTGGCTTTCCAGCTTCCCATGCCACAGCAGCTGCACCAAGTAATTAGCATAGCTTGAAATCAAATCATTAAAGAAGTATGAAGAATTGAAAATGGGGTATGAACCTTTGCATTTGATGACTTGACCGGCGGTGCTCGACATGGGTAGAGAAGATCAAAGATTGAGATGAACGAGTATCTGATTTGTTGATGGAAATGGGGGATTTTATAGATTGAAAGAATGAATGTGGAAGGGTAGGCAGTAAAAGCAGTAGCGGTTGGCGCGGGGAGCAAAGCCGCTGGCGTGTCCAGGGTCGAGATTTGGAAGTGGCGACGCGTGGTATTATTAATAAAGGTTTTAAAAGTGGTCAAATACTCTTAATTATAAGTTGGAACAGAGTTATCCAGGGTCCAGAGATTAGGGAACTCATTTTCTTACCAACTATTGTTCCGTATATAAACCGAACTCATTTTCTAACCTTAATTTTTTATAAATATTTTGATACATATTTTTTATATTCGGTCGATCTAATTTTGATACCATGGTTAAATTTTTAAAATAAAAAAAAATATGATGAATTGTTTTATTTATTTTCTTTACTTACTGGACGAACAATTAAACTATTTTATTTGTTTTTATAATTGAAAGCTGAGCTCGAGATTATTATTATTATTTATTTATAATTTTATTTAAATAAAATTTTGAAACAGTTAAAAATAATTATAGAATTAAAGTTGTAATTATAAATACAACGTTATTATTTTTAGGAATGATAAATCCAGATGGTCACCACGTTTTCAAGATTGGTGATGGGTAACGTTAGAATCCAAAGTTGAAGAAGATGGTGGCACTTGGATTGTGCTAGAATTGCTTCCTTCATGCTTCCCATGCAACCCAAACCCATGCCTATGCTCTTTCTTCTTCGCTATTTCGTCGACATGGACATCGTCCTCGATCGTCACCATCACAGCCTGCCGCCCGTGGGCGTCTTGTGCGACATCTTCATGGACCTTCCTGTGTCCATCGACATGGATGACCTCTGCAACTTCGTCTCGTGGACATGGTTTCTTGTTTCTCTTTTTGATGAAACAACAGAAGAATGCAGCTGCGACGAATGTGAAGAACAAAAGACATGAGCCTAAGGAAATGAAAACGATTACGATAACTGCGGTGTGACCGTTGGGGGACGGGGGCGGAGATATGCGTCCCAGATTGGAAGTGTTTTGAGCGGCCATTTTGGTGTGTAAGTTGGTTGGTGAAAAGAGGTGTGGAGATTATGCGTATTTATAGAGTTTGATTTGTTGGTTTGTTTGGTTTGAGTGTTAGAATTGGAATGAAAGAATTGAAATGACTTGACTGTTATTCTAAGGATGGGGTTTTTTGGATTTCAAAACACTCAAACTCCCTCTATTTGCTTACTGTCTCTTACAAGCTTATTATTATTATTATTATCATTATTATTATTATTATTATTTATAGCTAACAATTTGCTGCTAATTGCTTTCCATTAATAAAATACTTAATTTAAACACGTGAAATCTCACTTCAATAACACACCCAGGTTTATAATAAAATAATACTAAAGACCTTTTGGAGAAGCCTAAAGTATAGCTGCGAGAAGTTATTTTGGTTAGATTGAGTTCAAATAAATAATAATTTTACGAATTATTAAAACTAAAATGGGTTGAAACGAACCCATTTGAATAAATAATAATTTTCGTTATTTTGCAATTTAAGGAGTCGATTTAGCTTTGATACCAACTATCGAATTCATTAAGCGTTTTTGCGACACTTACTCTCACCCTCAAGTACGGCAACCAACTAGAATTTGGGTCACCGTTGGCATAAGAGACGCATGCCTAAACCTTCGACCTCATTCGTTAGAAAATATTTTAGGAGGGATAGATGAAGTTTTAGAAATAATTTGGAAATCAATTGACAAGAAAACAATGTTATAGGCCGAAAATAATTAAACGAACAACCTGGTGGGAAGAATTGAGCTTCCACCTCAGATTTGTGTAGTAATTAAGCAACAACCTCAAATTCGATTCCAATCCTTTTCATATCAATTTATAAGAATTTGAATCTAGGCGACTTAAGCTTTTATTACTCTTGATCATCAAAACTGATAATGTTTTGATAATAAGTTGAAGCGAAGATAGAGGATTAAATTTGTGATGAAACTAATTGAGAGAGGAGTATTATAAAAGAAGGAAAGTAGAGGGAGGAGTTAGTTACAGGTAGGCCGACGGCGCCCAATCCAAAGATAGCGACGGAGGAGCCCTTTGGAGGCTTAGCAACGTTCAAAGTGGCACCAAGGCCAGTGGAAATGCCACAGCTAAGAAGGCACACAATGTCGAGAGGAGCAGCAGGGTTGATTTTGGCCAGACAGCCTTGATGAACAACTGTGTATTTTGAGGGATGAATGTTTAGAGTTGGAAGGGTGTATTTATAGTGGGTATAAGCTAAAGCATTCATTAGGAGTAAATTAAAACAATATAAAAGTAAATTAAAACCATATAAAAGTAAAAGCTCGGTTATAAGACAATGTTATTCACTAACCGACCTAGCGAGTACCAAAGCTCAGTTAGTGAGTTTCATGTACATGAAATCAATAACATTCTCTTAAAACAACAACACTAAATCGAGATCTTATTAAAATTAGTATTCTCCAAAAAAATAATGTAAAACATAGGGTTTCAGTTGTTGTGGGAATTAAAAGAGGCGATTGTAGGAAGAAAATAAGTTAAGATAATTTGATTCCAAATATCAGGAAGCCCAGGAAGACACCAATGGCCACAATCTTGCATGGCTGGATTGTCTCCCCAATTCCCCACATGAGCGTCGCTTCTATACGATCCCATCGCCGTTAAATGCATCACTCTCACCGGAACCCTCTTCATCTTCTTCCTCAAAACTTCAATTATTATGTCCGATTTTTCACTCTTCTCTCTCCCCTTTGTCTCCCTCAACGGCTCCCGACTCACATCGCATTGGTTTGGCCCTCTGCATGCACCATTCATCTATTAGAACCCATGTCCTTAACTTACCCATGTCAGTAAACAAGTTGTGAGCCTATGTCCTTAACTTACCCATGTCAATAAACAAGTTGTGAGCCTCGAAAGTATAGTCAAAAGTGACTAAATGTCGAACAAAGGGTATACTTTGTTCGAGGACTCCAGAGAAGGAGTTCAGCCTTGATTAAAGGGAGGCTATTTGAGGGCTCTATGTGGTGCTTTGTTAAAGAAAATGATTGTTGGGAGGGAGTCCCACGTTAGCTAATTTAGGAAATCATCATGGGTTTATAAGCTAGGAATACATCTCCATTTATAAGTCATGAGAGCTTATGCTCAAAATGAACAATATCATAGAGATCCCTCGACCCATAAAACAAAATTAACGTTACCTCCAATGAGTAGACTCGATAGTGCGGAAGAAAACGGCTGTCCTATTGGGATTGATATTAGCCTCAGCCCAATCAGCCCATGTATTCAACGCCATCTTATACCCATCAATCACAGACATTCCCATCTCCAATGAGTCCCCAATTTGAAAAAAACACCTCCTGTCTATCCAACCATGTATCGTATCTTTAATAAAAGATCAAATATGTTATATATGGTCACCTATAATTTAGTATGACATATCTTTAACACTTACATCTCGTTGAAAAGTCGATTCTCAGTCCACCAACCACCAGTGTTAAAAACCAAAACATCTGAGTCAACCCATTGGTCACGAATATCGTCCACTTCGTCCAATCTAACCGTCATCCTCACGTTGTTCGGTGCACCCGCAGGCACTTTATAATCCTTCTTCATTAAAAACACGGACCTATAGAAGTCCACGCTGATGTTATGGTCTCTAAACCTCACTCCCAAATGCCGAATTGTCTTAGTGATATTACTCCCATTGATTTCATAAACGCTCTCCTTATTCTCCACACCTTCCATCAGCATACAAACCCACGACTCCCATTGTGTACGGCTGAGTGAGTCGCCAACAATCACCACCCGTTTTCCTCTCAGCATCTCCAGCGCTTTCCCAGCCTCGAACCTTGGAATGTCGCATTGCTTTGGCTTCCACCGCCAGTTGATGTACGCCGTGTCCTTCCGCCCGTTTTCCAAGCAGCTGAACCCTCGCTCCGCGAAGGGGCAGCGGGTGGAGTTGTAGATTGGGTAGGTGGAGGAGTTGTCTTCGACCCATTGGCCGTCGAAGACGTTGCAGTCGGGTGGGACCGTGGGGGTGAGGTGGAGGAGTTTGTGGATGTTGGGGAAGAGGAGTGTGTAGGTAGAGGCGATGGCGATGAGGAAGGTGAGGAAGCAAGGGAGGATCCATACTTGGTTGAAGCAATGGAGGATTGTTCTTGGTTTGGCATTGTTGAAGCTTGGAAGAGTTGAGTAGGAGCTTTGCTTGTTCACCACCATTGTGTTTGCTCTGAATTATGGGTTATGGGTTATGAATTATGGGTTAAGTAGAGGAGATGGAGAATGGGAGTTTAAAGAAAGAACATGGAAACTGTTCATTTGTTGTTACATTTCAATTCTATTCTGTATTCAATTAGGAGATTAAGTTTTGGAGTTTTTCAAATCAAAGAAACTTCAAATTTAAACTAATTTATTGTGTATTAATTACATTAAGTTTATCATATATAGTTGATCATTATCTAAATCCCGTGTTTTATCTTGTAACCCTTTAAGTCTCAATATCTGACACTATAACTCGAATCCAATCCTGTCCTATAGGATTAATGTTCACTCCTTAACACCCTACCACATTATCCAAGTCTTGCTTACTTTTAACACCCTTTCAACACCCTGGGACATTATCCAAGTCTTGCTTACTTAGAATTGTTAGCATTAACTTTAGGTCACGTTCGAAAGCTTGCCGACTGGTGTAGATACAATTAACGTGTTTTATAGAGGCTCTAGTCCTATTGATCATGTTCATCAAGTCTTTCTATCCTGCAAGAATGCATAAAACTAGATTCTAACATCATAAATACTAAACAGTTAATGACTAGCATGTTAAATTATTGGGAGTAAGTCCCACCTTGGTTAATTTAGTGGAAGATCATAGGTTTATAAGTGAGAAATTCTATCCTCCTTTGCACCAAGTGGCACACTTGTAGCACGCATCCCTCGACTCGGCTCCGCAGCTCAAAGCGCACTCATTCAGCTCCTAAGTGAGTTAAGAACTCCTGCCTGAGTGACTCGATCTTAGTATTTCACACGATGACGTATATAGGTGCACTAAAGGGGTTCTGCCTGAATGACTCATTAATTGAGAAGATTAGTATTCCACACGATTATATGTGACTCGATCTTAATCCTGAGTGACTTAAAAATTCCTGTTTGTGAAAACTTGTCATTTGATATGCATGGGTAAGAATGACTCTAGTAGTCGATTCAATATGCCTACCACTTTGAGGACTTAACCAAATAGGGAACTAAAACGTTAAGATCACAAAATGAAATTCACTAATTTCCACATCAGATGAATTGTTCTTTTAAAGGTTGATTTAGAGATTTGAACCATGGAGCCCGCTATCTCATTTGTTCAAGATGAACTTAATTGAACCATAAACAAATTATTCCTTAAAGATAAAGCTAATAAAACAAAGTTATAATTAGGAACATAATTTGTCTCATAAATCATACTTGTAAAGGATGGACATGTTTGATAAATTAATTTTATATTATTAATGCTTATAATTTGTAGGTGCTAAATTAATTTAAATTTAGAGATTCAAATTAATATTAAATATATTAAATAAAAAATATGTATATTTGAAATGTTTAAATTAATATTTAATATATTAAATAAATAAATATATATATATATATATATATATATATATATATATATATATATATATATATATATATATATATTAAATGCTTTTGCTCAGCAACTTATCTGAAAAATCACTTATAAAAAAATATTAAAAATGATTTATCATTAACCACTTTTTACAATACTTATAATAAAAGTAATTTTGCTAAATTATAATTTAGAAGTCTCAAACACATTATTTATTACAATCTTTGTTCTCCACACGGCATTGTTCTAATAATAATGAAACATAATTTAAACTTTACTTACAATCTTGGTGGCGATGAACTACGGATCTAATCCTCAATTTCAAATGGTACCCCATTTTCCTTTCCCAGGTCGTAAGTAGTATGATCAACAACCTACAAAGAGAAAGAGAAGTTACATGAAGTAATATTAAATTATAATAGGTATTAAATCAACCATCCCGTTCTAGAATAAGAAGGTTTCGAATCACATGTTCAAACTTTGCTTTTACTTCAACAAATGGACATACACATTATTTCAACGTAATATGATCCTTTAGAAATTCTCAATTCCCTATTATCTCATATCGTCATGTCATTTTAGAAATAAATATACTTATATACTTTTAAAAAAATGATTTAGATATTTTAAGAATAAGTTGAGTAACTTTTACTATAAATACTCCCACCCTACCAAAGTTTTCATCTCAAGAAATCCTAAGAACAACATAATGGAGTTTCTACGGGGGTGTCTTCTTGATTGGTGTTCTTGATCGGTATTAATAAAGAGCTTGAGTGTTTCCCATAAAGAGTTGTGTTTAACAATTTGGTAACCGAGCAAGGTTGGTGTAGGTTGTCTAATCTCTTAGAATTCTTAGTGTGCTTTGTGTTTGCTACTCTGTCTGATTTTCCACATCAGAAACAATTTCTTGATATTATTAGTGAATGAGTTTCTTTGTGTCGTGAGTAGTCTATGACTCTACAAATTTTGTGTCAAAAGAGTTTTTTTAGTATTACTTAGGCATTCCCAACTCAACAACACATGGACAGCATGCATGATGTCCCATTTACAAAGACATGACCTTGGAGAGGTCGTTTGCGGGAGCAAAACTACGCTGCCAGAAGAAGATTCTAATGGCGTCTTGTGCAAATGGAGAATCAAAGCAAACAAAACGACGTATGCCTTGAAGACCACAATTGAAGAAGAGATGTTAGAACACCTAATGTGGCGCAACATGTAGACATGGGAATATGGAATCAGACAGGCAAAGAACTCCCTATCATCTATATTCAAGAAAATAATCACCCTCGTGATCAGGTTGAGCATTGAGTGAGTTATTCCCAAAGAAAATTGGCCAAGGGAGCAAAAGGTGAACACATTTAGATGTGAAATTTATGAAAACTGATATGAGAAGTGAATTTCGACTTCCTAACATTGCAGCGATTACGAGTGTCAGTAAGACCTTAGCCGATTTCTCAAGGGAAGAACCAGAATGGTAACCACACCATAGGAGGTGTTGCAGGATAGCAGATAGCTTGCCACTCATAGGGGCATGGATGACGATAGCAAGGAAGCCTTCTTACACCACAAAGTGTTAAAAAGGAAAGAAGTCAGAATGAACCTCAAGAAAACACCTAAGAAGGGCATTGCATGAGTAGATACGAGCTCAAACGGCGTCTCAGAGAGATTTCTGATAGAAAAGCTAAACTGTCATGTAGGGACGACATTCGAATGGTTACGCATGCCTCATGTGGTGAGAAGAGTTGAACCTAAACACTGACTCACTGGTTCAAGCCATCTGTGATATCTATGTTAGAGATACAGTGGCGCTATTACATGAAGTTAGAAAAATGAAGTAGTTCCTACGAGGGGGTAAGATATTTGTCTAACAAACTTATGTTGAATAGCGGCCAAGGGTCGTCGCTATTAGGCTACAATTGTTGCATGTGCGGTTAGTAGCACGAATTCACTAACATCAGGCATGATACGAAAGTGACATCCCAGAAGTTGACAAACCACGATAGACCGTGTAATAACGAGATGGACGAGATTGAGAATCTACTACTGCTGGTATATGCAATAAGGACATTGATACGAGAATATGCTCAACTCTAGATGAGTTGGTAAATACTATGTAAGCCATAAGAATTTTAGAGACCTTCATAAGGGCCACGTATCTTAGAACCCAACACAAGGGTCTGCTACTTCAAAGCCTGTTAAAAAGGCCGGATAAACTAGAGCTTGCCATAAAGCCTAATACTTATATACTCCTATACTAGAAGTGTATAGAATTGTAAGCAAAAGTTTTATAGGGCTAGACTAGAGCCTAGTCAATGGCTAAGGATTATAGTTGAGCACATAGCCTAAGGGTACGTTGACGAGAGCCTACAAGTAGGTTGCTTATTGAGTATTTTTATACTCATTCCATGTTATTCTATTTTTTTTTTTTTTTTTTCAAATGGGAATGTTGATAGCAGGAGCGTGTTGAGCCATGCAACTGCAGGAGTATCCTTTAGATTGAATCATCTTCCTTCTTGTCATTTTATTATTATTTGAAATGTTGTTTCTTGAAACTTGTATACTTTTTGTAAATCGTTTTGACTTGACTCTCTAGATATTGTTTACCTTTAAATTACTTTTATCTCGATTTGAATTTCAAATTCCTTGTGTATTCCACTTTACAAAAAGAAAATTTTACCACCTTTACTTTGAGTGTACATGGCAACTTGTGATTCAAGGCATCGAAAATTAGGCCATTATAAGAACAATTTTTTTCTTGTCTCTTGAGTTTGAGTTTATTGTGATAGTCTATTGCAATTCCAACCTACCGCTGAAGAATGATTTTGGAATACTGTGAATGTAAAAGATTTCCACCATCTAATACGAATCTTTGAGGGGATGACAAAGACATAGGAATGACAAAAAAAAGTTCCCCACGACTAATAGTTGAAATGGACATAGGAAAGACAAAAGATTTCTTTTATATAGTTGAAAGGTTGGCATGAACATAGAAAATATAAGAGATTTCTGAAATCAAGTATCTATCCTTGAAAGGTTGACATGAACATTGAAAACATAAAAGATTCTCAAGTGTTGTATGAATCTTCCAAAGGTTGACATGGACGTGGGAAAGACAGAGATTCCCTAATATGTTTAAAAGGTGAATGAATTGGACAGGAATTCTAACTTCTCATGTGTATGTTTTCATTGGTTAGCTATCAAATGTATATGTTTATTGTTTGGATGGCAACTTCCTCCACCTAGTTTCAGAAACTACAAGAGGGAAAATAAAATAAAGAAGTTTTGCTTTCTCATATTCTACCTTTTCCCTTTAAGATAAAAAATCTGGGTTGAATCTTCAGAATTAATTCAACAAAACAGTTTGTTCAGATCACTTAACGAATTCAACACTGCAATAGAAAAAGAAAAGGCAAAAAGAAAAAGACAGAATCATAGAAAGAAAGAGAGAGAACTCACATTGGTATTAGTTAATTCCAAGTTGTAGAAATCCCTGGCGCTTTCTCTAAACAGAGGACCAGCATGCCATGTCCCTTTATTCAGCTTCACAAACTTGGCCCCTGAAATTTTGAACACCTTAATGTCATCAACACAAGGCGGCACAAACAGATGGCCACTCTTAGATCTCAAAACCGATTCGCTCTTATCAATTCCAGTTTTATGTTCATCGTCCACAATTGACGGCTTCGCAACCGCAAGATACCAAGGCTGCCGATCCACCGATCCAAGGCACTGCGTTACTCTCGCATGATGCGTAATCATCGAGAAATTGAAAGGCCGATTCTCGATATGGAGAATGTAAAACCTGTTGGCTCAGATCAGAGCTATCTAATTCAGAACCCTAGAATCGAGATTCTGCAAAGCAATTCGGGGGAATGGTGAGGGAAGAGGATTTGAAGGGAGTTTGTTTGTGATTTACCTAGGGGTTCCATTGGTGAGGTCTAATTGAGCGTCGTCAGGTCCAAATCCAAGGCCGTCGTCTGTAGGCTCGATGACTTGGCCATACTCCGCGAAGCTCTCTGGCGTGGCTTCTATGGCCTTCAGCTTCATCCTCGGTTTCAATTTTCCTATTTTTATTCTGTTCGGTTGAAAAAATCGTATTTTCTGTTTATGTGTGGCCCGACTTTATACCCATTTCCGATGTCAGATTATCACATTTAAATATAACGAATTCGCCCAAAAAAAAAAAAAAAAAAAATTAGATCGATAATAAGTAGGTGGACAGCATTTTCCCAAATCCAATCTAATTTGCAAGCATAAGATGTTCATTTAAAAGTTTAAAGTTGCCAAAAGTTGGATGAACATTTTTCCTTTTTTTACTTTTTTTATTTGAATAACTAGTTCCATGTAGGCTATTCAATTTTTAATTTAATCCGTTAATTATGTAATTCATTTGTTTCTCGAACTTGTTATTTTTCTACTAGCGTGTCAGTGAGTCATGTTGAGGATGGTTGGGAGTTAAGTCCCACATTGACTAACTTAGGGTTATGATTGATATCGTGCTATAGAGCCCTGTCCTAAACTTAGCCATGACAATAGAACCTTCACATATCGAACAAAGAATTGTGAGCCCCAAAAGTGTAGTCAAAAGTGCTAAAGTGTCGAACAAATGGTGTACTTTGCGTCAACTAATAGAAGGAACGGTACTTTGGTTTTTTTTTTTTTTTTTTTTTTTTTGTTCCACAATTGCATCTCTCGATTCTCTTTAATGACTCTACTCTTTTACTACTTTGAACGAGTACTCTTCATCCTCGTAGTCACTTCCATGCCGTTCTTGATCACTTCTTTTCAATCGTGCAAAGAATCGGATATAAGTCAAATTTATTGACTCATATACTCACTTATGAGCTTGACTTTGTTCGAGATTCTTAGCAACTTCGACATCTCCATGGATTCAACCTTGCGAGGGCCTTAGTGAATGTAAGCACATGCTTTGTGGTGCAAACGGACTCCACAACATTTTGTGGTTTCTCGACACACTCACATATAAAGTGAAAACGAGTGTCAATGTGTTTGTTGCATCCATAAAATACCAAATTCTTCATTGATGTAGTTGTAGATATGTTATTGATGTCGAGAATTACCTGCTTTAGCTCACTTCTAGTCACCTTGTTCAATAAGTTTCTCAGTATCACTTCCTAAATTTTGAGGCTTCAAGAACCGAGGTTGAGACTGATAGACTATGCAAGGAAAACATGTATGATTGAAACAATGAAAAATCTAATAAATTTTGACAATTAAAATCAATACTCGAGATATTAAAACTAATGTAAAAATTTATGAGTACATATGTATTATGTTGTTTACAAAGAAGGAAATGGGTTCAGAATACAAAAATACATGGTACGATACTCTATAGAATGTAGACAATAGATTTCTCGAGTCGATACCCCTCTATGGCTGCAAAGTGTCACAATCGCACTTTTGATGGCAGCGGACTTGCAATTGTGTGATACTCACTTCCCAGCAACAAATGAGTTAAAGTCAGTTCGTTCTTGCGTCACCTATGGCCAGGTACGTATGCTTGAACCTCTGCCCCCGATTCAAGAAGAAAGTTTTAGAAAACGGGGGTAGAGAAAGATTTAGAAAGAGAGTTTTGAAAGAAAAATTTGAGAGATTGAAATTGGTGTTATATATGATGCAAGCAAAAAGGCAACAACAACGGCTTACAATATATAACTATCAGGTAGGGAGAAGTTGACAACTAGTCATATCCCCCTATAGTACATTTTGAGGCGATTTAGGTCTGACAGACCTAGACATGATTTCGCCGAAACATCATACTCCCTAAAAATATAAAAGTAAAGCATTACAACATGGAAAAACATAAAGAGTTTGGCTTGGCATGGGCATGCAGCCATGGGCAACACGTTCTGGACGAGCATAACCATGACACAAAACACTATTCATATGAAAAATAAATTTTGGGGTGAGCATAAAATTATACCTAGTAAGAAACCTACTTATAGGCTCTTATCGCATCCTAGACTTAGCACAGTACCATGAATTATTCTTTAGGTTCTAGGTATATGACTCTGGTCAATCACAGACTTATGTAGCTAGCTTAGCCTATGCAGCGGTCGACCAGTATGGTGATGCTAGCCTGCTCGTCATTTGTAGGAGGTTAGTTGGTGAACTCATCCCATAGGACCATATAGTCATCCAAAGTCGGGGGAGTGACCCACCTGTGCGTGCCAGCTCCAATTTCTACCTACGTGATCCAGATCCCCCCATAAGAAGAATCAGTTGTGCATGGTAGTCCAACTAAACAATCAAGTCATACATCCCTAATCGACCCCATGTTTGGCTCGCCGATACTATAATCAGAGTGAAAAGAGAAGTGAAAGATCAACAGGCAACATACTAGCTACTATCGGCCAAAGATGCTATCTTTGTCATTTTGGGTTTTCGTGGTGATCTTCTAGGTCCCTAGGGTGTTTTGGCGTTACTAAGATGGATTCACGTCTCCAGGTTTCTCTGTTCGACTTCTTGAGTCTAGTTCAATTGGGAGCACTAGAGACTAGCCATGCAGATCTCACTCACGACTCTAAGGTGCTCGAACTACGGGAGGTAATTTGTCCTAGATCATAGTCTAGACAAAGTGACTTTAGCGCTCTAATCATATTCTGTTACTACTTACACGAGATCATACATTCAATCACGTGAGGTTTATGTATATTAAATCATGCATACAGTCACACATGCTCAATGGGCGGTAACATCAATCAAACACCTGTTTTGCAAATAACAAAATTCTCATCCTTCTTTCTAGCATAATCATGTACAAATCTGTAGTGAAACAATTAATAACTAAATACAAGTTTAATCGATCACTTTAAGCTTTACCCTATCCAAGCAATGCCTACAAGTATTATTTGCCTAGAATCTGTGTGGTTACTTACTTTATTGTCACGTACTTTCCTGAATTTATTTTTCTGCTCGTAGGATGCTCCAAATATCTTGAAAACCGGTTAGTAGGTCTTAGCTCAAATAGAATTAAGGTAAGTATTGAAATTGTGGTGAAAAATAATCAAACGGAGATCAAACGTAGTGGAAAGGGTCACTTGCATGCTTCCCACACACGCTCACATGCTACAAAAGGATACCATGTGTGTGTCGTGTTGTGCAGTTGCAGGTTGCAGAAATCAATTCGAGTCAGCTAGAGGGATGTAGGTCATGCTTTATGGGTTAGTTTCAAAGGCGTGGATTAGATGTGGTTAGACGTGGGTTGAATTGTTCGATTCCCTAGCGATGCGTGTCCCTCTGGTAAGTCGACGCACTGCTTCGTCCAGTTTCTAACACATATCGACGACATACACAGACACACTATCTGGCCAAATGGTCGATATGCGTCCCTCAATTCCTTCAACCTGCGTGATTAACCGAGGATAGAATCACTCATAACTATATTTGAAAGGGCAATATAGTTTCAGAAAGTTATAACTAATAGAATAGGATCACTCATGAATCTGTGGATGGTCGTTAGGTATAAAAATTCAGAATGATTCGAACTGGAGGTGAGCTTTCTACTAGTAGAACAAAAGTCAGGTGAGGGGGCTAACTGATGATAGATTTTCGGGTGACCCCATAGTTTACATGTTTAAACTCTGAGCCAATCAATAATTCTATGGAAAGTCAGGGTTTAACCGGGATCTCCGAGTGGTGAACTAGTCCTATGAGTGAGTTGAAAGGGTTATCATCTTTAAGTCGTCGACGTAATGTACATTAATCAATCTTATTATTATAGACTAGGGATTATTCTCGATAGAAAATATAAAATATACCTACATAACCTATGTAACTAATATACAAAACAATGATATAATTAAAAAAAAATTAGGTCAAAAAAATACATTCAATTTTCTTTTTGGTTACAAGTACTTTAATTTGATTGTATTTATACAAAGATTTAAGCCAGGCCCAGGCCCAGGCCCAGGCCCGTGGTTTCGAATCTCGAGTCCCTTCCGGCCATTGAATGGCAGCAATGTAAATTCAAAATAATCATCGGGGTAAAATAGTAAAATAAGTAATGCAAATTAGGGCTTCTCCTTCGACGCCTATATAACCATGAGAGCCGCTTCCATCATCAATTGAATCGCCCAGAAGCAACTTCTTCGTCTAAGAGTTTGTTTGTTTGTTTCTCTACCGTTGATTTTATTTTGACTTTTGAATTAGAAAAATGCGAAAAGTTGCGGCGGTGATGAGGATCTGAGATTGTCATGCACCACTCTGATGATGCTTGCATCAATCTGTGCTGATAAGTTTCTCAATACCCATTGAATCTGAGCTTCTTCTTTCTCAATTTCTCTCTGATCCTCTCTTTGTCTGTGTTTCTATCTGTTTGTTCTTGTAGTTTTCTGGTTATCGAGTCGGACATTTGAAGTTTTAGATTCTAATTTTGATTTTGATTTTCAATGTGTTGGAGATGAAATTAAGGAACCAAATGATGGGCGTCTTCTTCGGAAGACGCAACCATGATGCGGACCGTACAGCGTTTAGCTACTGGGGATTAATTTTGGTCTCTGATGGTTCCTTCTTTTATTTATTTATTTATTTATTTCTTATTATTATTATTATTATTTTTTGTGGGATTTGATTCCTCGGCCCTTTGAATGGATATGCCGCACTCGACTTAGCTGAAAATGGTACTCTGATGGTTCCTTATTCATCACTTCTCCACATGATTTTCGACTTTCATGTTTTTCATCTTGATGCATGCTATTGTGTTACATTCGAAGTGATTTTGAATGGTTAAAATGACTTTCATTTACAAAATCTCACTAAGTTAGAAGTTATTCTGATGTTTCTGTCTACGTATTTTTTAATGTCAACGTATCATCGATTAGTTTGAATGGTAAATGCCATTGTTTTCTAATCGTTCTCCAACATGTGTTTGTTTTTATCAACTATTGAATCTATCTGCTTAAATGATTGTAATTTTTTTTGTTTGGATGCATTAAAATAGTTTGCAAATCGCAACTTTCCTATCAGTCTTTTGTGGAATCTCAGATCTCAAATGTAATTGTGAGAAGATAGTTGCCTTGGTGGGGGATGTCGTTGCAGGCGTCCAATTGTCGTATTTCAAAACCCTCTTGTTTACGAGATAGCAGGTTTATAATTTTTCTGTGTTAAATTCTCAAATAGTTGTGATTACTCTGTTTTGAGAATTTTAAAATATCAACACCCTCGAAGGGGAGGTTTCCTAGGAAACATACTACTGATTTACCCTTTCAAGAACTCCACCTCCAGTTTGTTAGCTATAATGATAGCAACATGTCATATCATAGAAGAAAGACTAATGTATTTGCAGGCGCTGGATTTAATCAAATATTGGTTGATGGGCAGACCAAAAGGTTCAAATAGATTTTTCAGGATCTGTTGTCAGCTTTCACGTTGGATTGTACAGGCAACAGATGAGAGATGATTTTTGCATATAACAAAACTTTCCAGACAATCTTACATCGTTCCAGTTCCAAGCTATGTACACGAGTTCATCCATCGGTTATGCTAATATGAGATTTTGAGGACTGAGTTTTGTGTAACGCTCATTTACCAAGTGTCAGATTAAGGCTAGCAACATTGTTACTACTGATGTATATTACGTGATTGAAATCATATTTTATGGCTATATATTCACGATTTTTATTAAATAAATTGTCATTTTCTTACTGTCATTTTAATTGTTTTTTTTATTTTTTTTAGTTTCCCTTGTAATTCATTCCAAATGTAGTCATTTTGTCACAATTCCTCTGAATTGTTGGACCTATATTTTCAGGTTTGCTTTCAAATCTAACCCAATTTTCAGGTTTCTCCTTAGATTGAACCCACGGGAAGATAAGCTTCAATGATATAAGCATAACCCAACCCTTGCCTCCAATCGCTACAAGAATGTGTGAACTTCCGCGAATCTCAGAATTTTCAGTCGATATGTTTAATGTCTTTGTGCTTAAGAAGTATATGATGGATCTATAGCATGCGTGAGTTTGAATGAAGGCTATTAGATTCTACAATTTGAAAGGCTATTAGATTCTACAATCTATAGCAACGCATCCTATCCCTTTCATTGGTTGTATCATTTATTTACTACATTATGGTTCATGTTTGTGTAATGAACATGTCATTATTTAGTTAAGGAGGTTCATTAGTGAGTAGATCCAATCATAAATACAAAAAACTTTGCCTGTAAACTCAAGTTCCGACAGCATAGTAATAGAGTGTGATAGCAGAACATTTGTAAACACTAAATCCTACATAATCTTCTCCAACAAATTTCACGTTTTCATCTCTTTATATCAAGCCATCCATTAGAATAGCACCTTGTGTTTGTGTTGTGTTCACATTAAGAATGTTAGATCTAACCTGGTTGTTTAGGCAAAACCATTGGTCCACAGTATAACTACTCCGTCCTACTGAAATCATGCCGATACACCTCATACAGTCCACGGCAGGGATCCCGGATATGGAGCTGCTCTACAATATTTGAAAAGCCCAGCAATCTCGGGACATCCGTTTGGATAAGGTATCGACCGATGAAAAGGGTCTCTTCCAAGCTTTTTGCGGTAGAGGGCACCTTGGCATCCAAAGGGATCGTCTTGGAACTGAGCTCGTACCAATGCTTCGCCTTTTAGAGCAGCTTCTTTCGATGTCATTGAAGCTGGTGTGCCAGCGTAGAAGAACCTTGGTTTCGGAAAGTTAATGGCAGACCTATGCAAATTTGCAAATCTCTTCTCTTTAAAATCGTAGCTTACCACCTGATAATTCAAATATAATTAGTACCACTTCCAATAATTGCTTCACAATACAACACAGATTAACCAACACACCCCTTATCCTCCTAACAAATTAACATAGAAAACCAACTACACAAGAAAAGGAGAAGCCTTTCCTTTATGTCTCAAACATTCATGTACATATTTCTACTCTTTAAAACGTTCTTCAACTAAAACGACTTACGGTAATGTTTTGAGGGTATTTTCCAGTTAGCTCCCGGAACCGACAAACGCTGAATAGGAGATTCTCAAAGCTGTCCCTGGCATGCTCCTCTGTGAGTGCTCTTGACCTCACATTCTCCTTCTTCCCTAGAGAGATCACCACAATTTGTAAGATATTCATGTTATCATAACCATGATCAAATTACCATCTATAATAGCATACTTTCTATGCTCTTTCCATGTATTATAAACTATTAAATGCTCATATTTAATGCATGAAACATACTTTGGAATCACTACAACTTGAATCAGCACTACAAATTAGATGGAACGTAGGCTGGGAGAATAAGCTTATGCAAATGCACAAGCACAAGATGTATGAATAGAAAGTAACATGGGCTAGAAAATATTGTCCGCTTTAGTCTGTTAGGGAGAGGTTTCTACACCCTTATAAAGAATGTTTCATTCTCTTCTCTACCGATGTGGGATCTCACAATCTACCCGCTTGGGGGCCCAACGCCCTCGCTAGCACACCGCTCGATGTCTGGCTCTGATACCATTTATAACAGCCCAAGCCCACCGCTAGCAGATCGCTTTGCCCGTTATGTATCGCCTTCGGCCTCACGGTTTTAAAACGTGTCTATTAGGGAGAGGTTCCAGACCCTTACAAGAAATGCTTCGTTCACCTCTCCAACTGAGGTGGGATCTCACAAATAATTACAAAAAAGTAGCCAAAGACACTAGCTAATGCAGACATACAAATCCATTTCATTTACTAGGTTCAAATCAGAAGGCAGCACCAAATCAAAGTACCATTAACGATTTCTATAAAAAACCGAAAACTAGTTAAGATCAAGAATCATTATACCGAAAAGGTTTACTGTAAATCAATTAAATGAAGAGTACAACAAGACTTAGAAAGCCAGAAGAACAGAAATTCATGTACTTGATCATTCAGATAACCTATGAACGTGATACCAAGATTTAAGAAATGCAAGAAAATTTACCAAACCATTGTTGAGATTCAGCAACAGCCCAATAACTCTGTGCCTCACTTCGAGGACCAGCATTTTTTCTAGTCTCTCCACCACTAAACAGCAACAATGCAGCATCATCCCTCGCTGCAGTCTCAATTCCCTCTTTAATATGTGAAATAAACGTAGCAGCTTGGCCTGGATGCTTCTGATACGACTCCAAAACCCATGAATCTTCCTTCTCAACCTTCTCACAGCTACTGCTTACATAAACCGAATGACCCGCAACCATTACAAGATTCTGAAGCTTCGGAAATGGGAATCCCTCCGAATTTACATTCAATTTCTCGTAATAATTGGTCATTCGATAGTGGTTTTCATACACAGACAGGATTAACAGAAGTGTAACTCCAATTGACAAACAGATGAACAAAACTACAACCGGATGCAGCTTGTAATAGTAGTGGATCCGGTTACTAACAGATTTGAACATTCTAACGAGATAGATTGGGGAACTTTTGGTCTTTCGAATTCTTTTTAGGGTTCCTCCAGATTCTAAGTCGAAATCGCCTCTTGTATATGCATTGAAGGGGTTGGGGCTGGAGGACCCATATGAAAAATTGCTCATGATATCACAAATCTAGGCGATGGGTATCGAGACGGGAATGAATTGAACATACCCGAAAAGCGAAATGGAAAGTTGATGCTATTGGATGATTGATTCCTTAAACGATCATCAAATTAAATCAATTTTAGGACGAAAGGTGGAAGCAACTGACCAGATCTGTGTGCAGGAGAGTCAAACGATCCATCAAGAACAGATAAATACACTTCCAAGCTTTGAAGAGGGAAGTCGAGCAGAGATCGAATTGACGTATTACTCACAGCACGACACCTACGGGAGAGAAATTTCAAACACTGTGCTGCCCATTGGTATTTATAGGGATGATTATGCTCCAGTTTCTTTTAGAAGCGAATGGAGTTCAACTCACAATACATAATTCTTTTGTTTGAATGCTCACAAGAAATGGGAAGAAAATTAAACATTTTAGTATTAACAACAAAAAATAAATAAATAAATAAATAAAACAAACCAAACAAGTCATTGGCGGCCTAATTTCACTCAAGAACCCTAATTTACAAGAAGTGACTACTTGAGAAAACGAGCATTAGGAGCCAAATCTAAATCTTGGCCTTCGTCTGTCGTTCATTAGTTCTTTGAAGCAGTTGAATTGATGACATACAATCAAAACTCTACATTTAGCGATAAAACAATGATTTGAGTAATATTCAATCATTTCTCAATAATTATACACCATTTGTGATGTTCATTTAATCCGCAATGTCGAGGCCCTGTAAAATTTGAGACGGGATATCCTGAGATTTCTCAATTTTAGATAAATGGATATGAGAGGCGAAGATTATATTTTTGTCTTTGTCCCCACCCAATTTCCCAACCTCTCTTGCCCCTGCTTCAAAGTAGAGACACGCATTGCGGGTTAGCCCAACCTGATCCATACTCGAGACCCAAAGTTCTGGTACCCAACCCAAATCGACGACCGACCTGTTGATCAATCCAACTCGACTCTACAACCTATATGAGTGCATCATGCGTTGTGTAGGGAGCGTGACTTTCGCGCCTAGAGCACACATGAGATCGCGCATAAGACCTTATTCTGGCGCGTGAAAGCCGTGAGTAGTGTACGTGAGTCCCGTTTTTTTATCCTTTTGGCCTCTATTGTCAGTTTTTTGTCCCGATTTCGATACTGAGCTCAATTTTGTTGGTCTAAAGCCTACGTGAGTTTTTAGAAAATTTGGAGCCTCCTACTATCAGAAAAGTGAACTCAGGAAGTCACGCTACAACCACTAAGTAACCACACATATCCTAGGAAGTAATACTTGAAGGTATCATTTGGTAACCCATGCCTAGTAGTAAAACAAAACTCTACGTTAATAGATTCAATATGACATAAGCCTAATACAATCGGATAAGCATGAGAATAGTTACACTTGTTATTAGCATAACTGAATTATTCTTTGCATGATGTAACGGATTGTTTTTCCGCTGCTTGTACTTAATCGTGTTATATCGGAAAACAGGAATTTATCATGTACTCCGGGTGCTTGGTGGATATTATCATATGTTGAGACGACTAGGTGTTCCAACCTTGTGAAATGGTCAAGGGTCTCCTAAATAGGGTCATTGAGCTATATACTCGTTCTTGAGGGGGAGAATGAGACCACATAGATCGACCCAGTAGCTAGGTGGCACATGAGGGGTTGCTCCCTCCAAATTTAGGTGACTTTATGGTTTTGTGGGAGGGTCTGCCAGCTAACAAACATCATACTGTCCAAACAAACTATCTAAGTCAAAGAACAGAAAGGGAAATTACCCAAAAAAAATTTATCTTTTTTGACCACGGTCTAAAATTCATGACCCGAACAATCAGGTCATGATGTTAGTCATCTTTTGTTGCATTAACATGAATCGATTCCTTTTTAGAGACTCAAAGATGTGTATGTTTGAACAACTTTGGTGAACACCGTTGAAAAAGATACGTTGCCGCCACATTATGCTCCTAACTTTACACAGCTTGAAAGGGTCTGAGATGCAGCGCATGTGGGCCTCAACATATATTAATCAATTTCAATCTTTAAATATACGTTTATATTTTATTATTTATATACATAAATTATTATTTTAATTTGTAATATACAAATACAATAAATATAATTCTCTTTTATATTTAATATTAATTTGAATACTTCAAATTCAATATATATATTTTTATTTTATATTTATTATATCTAATATATTTATTTTTTATTTTTATCATTCAAATTAAATATATTTTTCTCTTTTCCCTTTCATATTTTATTTAAACATTTTCTCCACTCAATAGATCATTTTAATGTTACTGCGGTAATAGGGAGACTTTACGGCCTAATAACTTCCAATTATCCAAATTTAATTAATTAAACTCTTTAATTAATCAAATTTTATACCTTGACGATAGGTCACTAGACTATAGATCTAAAATTGCCCTCTAATGCACGGTAAAACAATTGTGTCTATAGACATAATCATTACAACCAAGCTGATCATTCACGAGTTGTTCATAATTATTACTAGATTAGAAGTTCGTTTTACCCATGTAATCACTCTTTCATCCTGTGTCAGAAGAGATGTATAATTGGACTTAGAGCGACCTCATGCATATTGTAGGTTCATAAGCAAAGGGCAACTTCCCCTAGAGATAACGAGTGCGGACGCGCACCGTATGATGAGCGTGAATGCGCACAGGTGCCAATGCACACAGGTGCCAATGCACACAAATGAGGGTGTTCATGAGGCACATGACACTATGGGGTTCTGCTAACCTCCGGACGTCGCTACAGATTAGCTTGATGAGAGGGTCCAGGGGTGTGCGAGCGCCCTGGGGATTCACACTCGCACGTGTGAGTCGTGTGTAGGGAAATACTAAACATCCAATTTGTCCGAGACTGGAGGCCACCTTAGAGATAGATCCCTAATTCATGATTGCATGTGCTTGCATTAGTATGACCCCTATAGTGAGGTCACTTACTGAGTATTTCTTGCCGTGTGCCACATTATTTTTTAGGTAAAGGCAAAATACTTACTGAGTATTTCTTGCTGTGTGCCACATAGTATGACGCCTATGTACGGTTGACGGCGGAGTCGTGATCAAAGACTGTGGCGCGTGCATAAGATAGTTGCATATTTAAAATTCCTAGTCTTGGATAGGATGTTTTCCTTTCATTTATTTAAATTATTTAATTTGTAATTGTTTTATCTTATTTTGAACTCCAGCATGATGTTTGAAACACGTAAGTTTGACAGTATTTTCTAATGTTTTAATATATTCTGAAGTTTTAAATTTTTTTCCACTAATAAAGATGAGCATTCTTAAAGTTATATTCTACATTAGAGATCAGCATGAGACGTTAGTGACGACTCTACATATGTGAAAATGTAGGGTCGTGATCAAGTCCCATATTAAAACCCTGGAATATTTATCCTCTCCATTAACATATTTATGAAAAAAAAAATGGATTAAATATTTTTTGGTCTAATTTTATACCAACTCATTATATAAAATATCTATCAATTTGGATCCAATTATTTATAACAATTATAAAGTGTTATTACTATAACAACTGTGGAAAAAAAATAAAAATAAAAAATAATTAATGCCTAAGCTCAACCCTATGGATTTCTAAAAAAAAAATAAAATAGAAAAAAAAAATTAAGAATAGAAATAAAAGAGGAAGTACATCCAAACAAGAAAAATGAAGATTTGGAGATGGTTAAAATACATAGAGAAAGAAAAGGGAGATTTGACCATTTTTAATTTAAGTTTTACTGCCAAACACAATTTAGAAACAATGAAAACAAGAAAGCATCAAATTTGATTTGTATGAGACAATTAAGTGAATAATTAAAATAGGTGAATTATCGACCTAAGTGAGAATGAATTCGAAGGATGAAAACAAAAAAATTTGGAGCTAGATAGAACTTTGACCAAAACCAACCAAGTAAGTGGTCTTACTATCGGTATGGTTAGAAATTGATGTTATATGATGACACGTGCTCTGTGGTCCTACACGTATTATATACTTGATATGTGTGAAATATTTATGAAACGATATGACTAAGATACGATTATGAAACGAAATGACTATGATATATTTATGAAACGATATGCTATGATATGTTATGTAAGGATATGACTATGATATGTTTATGAAATGATATGAATATGATATTTTACAAAATGATATGACTAGGATACGTTTATGAATGATATGACTGTGATGTGTTCATGAAATGATAGGACTGTAATATGTTTATGAAAGGATAAGGCCAAGATAAGTTGGTGATACGGTGTGACTATGAGATGATACATGAATGTTATGATATGTATTATGATGTGATGTACTGATGACATGATAAATGTTATGGTGTAATACATTTGGCAATATAATACATGATGTTACATGATATGCTGATGATATGATATATGTATGATATGACACGATGCATGATATGAGTGATATACGATAAAATGTGTTGACATGGTGCACAACCCTGAAATTTGTATAGAAAGTTATGATAATGATATGATATGATATGAAGGAAAACCGAAGAGAGTTGTTTTACATGATAATGAATGAAAATGTTGGGATCTCATGCATCATTGTGTGTTCATGCATTGGGAAACACCCCTCATTACGATGGTACAGACGCTACACTACGAGGCAGAAAAATGATCATTACGTTTACTATAATGCTGCTACGATGGTCATTGTTCCTAATGAGTGTTCGACATCAATAACTACCAGATAATACTCGCCCGACAAGAAAGGGGCCTAAGAGGTGTGTGAACCGACTAGTGGGTCCATACTCGCATGTGTGGACCGGTACAGTAAACACACATCCAATTAGCCCGGTTAGGATAGTGGCCTAAAGAATATATACTGATATGATAGGTCCCACTTATGATTGTATGTATTTGCATCTGACCTCAATAGTAGAGTCACCAAGTGAATATTTCTTAAAATGCTCAAGCCACGTGCTACTTCTAGTTCAAGTAAAGGCAAGACCTATATGGTTGACGACAATATCACAATCTGAGACCATGGTACATACATAGGGTAGTTGTACTTATTCTCTTAGACTTAAGTTAGAATAAGATGTTTTTAATTTTAATGTTTATTTGTTTCTTTTAGTACTTTGTTGTGTCATTTTAAAGATATTTTCAAACATTCACGACAGTGTTTTAAAATAGAATTTATATTTTATGATAAGTTTATCTTATTTACGCATAAAATAATTAGGATTCAAACCTCAAAAAAGGAAAGAAAAAAATAACATAAACAAATGGACTTTAGAGAGATTATTTGAGTTGTACCAGTCCGAAGCAACGGCCACCCACTGCCCTGTTCGAAGTGCGAACCTTATCGACCATGGCTGCTACAACTTGTAGTCTTTCATCAATCGCCTCACCATTTCTTCCCCAGGCGTTTAGGTCAGTCGCCACAAGAACTCAAATCACCCCATCCTCATGCTTCTCCAAAATGAGGTTTCGACCCTTTCGTCTTCGGACACGGAGAAATTTTTTTATTCGATGCGCTCGAACTGAATCCAAAGCGGTCACGTTAGGTTCCAGAGCCCCAGATTTTGAGGTAATCAAACCCCAATTCGATATCCAAACACTTCAATTTCATCCCCAATTTTCAGTGATGATAATTTGTTTTTGGTCGGGCAATTGGTTTAGCTTCCTGAACCTCTTACAGGCAAAGTATGGAAATTAGAAGATTTTGAACCCTATCCTGCTTTACTGGTAAAGTCCATTTTCAGCTTCAATTATTGTTTGGTTCTGTCTTAGACTTTAGTGTTTGTTTAAGCCATTCTTCACTGCTTGCAGGTTATGTTTATTTGTAATCATTGCCCATTTGTTATACACTTGAAAAAGGATATTGTGAAACTTTCGAATTTCTATATGAAGGTACAAAGGATATGTTTCTTTTTTCATTTTCTCATTGCTTGCTTTTGAGATCCGTGTGTTGTTTCAACAAGAACTTTGAAGTCCAACCATTGTGATTCATTAATGTCATACTGTGATCTTTCAGAAAGGACTGGCTGTTGTAGCCATATCTTCAAACTCTGTAGCTACGCATCCACAGGTTCGGTTAACTTCGTAATTGGAATTACAAGTTGCGTTGACGGATTGGTTTATTGTCAGACCGTGGAATTTTTCATGACAGGATGGACCGGAGTTTATGGCAGAAGAAGCAAAAGCATTCAATTACCCCTTTCCATATTTATATGATGAAGTATGTTTCTTTAAACCTTATGCTATTGTTTCTATTTAGCCATTTCTTATGTAAAATAATGTGATTTGGTTGTTTATGACTTTAGATACAGTGCATGCTATGATCATGATGATTTACGCTTGTTTTATCTCGTTATGTCTTTTCATGTAAAGATATTGTAGCAATTTGGGCACATGCTTGTGAACACTGCATACACATCCTAACAGAATCTAAAATCCAATATACTGATTTGTGTCACAATCGCACTCTTGCAGCAATGGGATAATGATTGTGCGACACTTGTTCTTGACTTACGAACAATGTTGGTGTATGCTCGAACCCTGCGTCACGTTTGAGAGAAATGTTTTAGAAAAACGTGAGCGAGGAAATACGTTGAAAATAATTTTAAAGAAAACAATGTTATAGGCTGAAAGCGAATGAGCAACAACGGTTTTGATAGCATATAACCTAGGTAGGAAGAATTGACAACTAGTCACATCCCCCTATAGTACATTTTGAGGCATTTTAGCCCCGGAGGGTGTAGACATGATTTTGATGACTGGTCATACACTCCCGTATTGACACAATAGAATAGTAAAGGTCTATCTATCATGAAAGGAAGTAAAAAGGGTATTTTACGGGCATGCAGTGAAGGACAACACATCCTAGACAAATATGACTGGGACATCGACATGCAGCCACAAGCAACATGCCTTGGACAAGTATAACTGTGACGCCTTGCACCTTGCATTGTTGAGCAATTACTGTTCTGAATATCATTGCTAGAACTTATATCTATTTGCACATTTTTTCGAAATTAGCAATACAATTACATGTATAGCTGTGAGAATTGTGAGGGCCTGAAGACCTGTAGATGATGATGCCCCTTACGTTGGAAAGCAATTGGAACTCCAATGTTCCTTGTAATAGTAATGCTTAGTCATTTTGATCTTACAAGCTGTGTATCAAAGAATTCTTATCATCTCTTCTGTTGAAGCATTGATATCAATTTGAAAGCTAATTGTACGTCCAATTGCAGTCACAGGAAGTTGCAAGGGATTTTGGTGCAGTTTGCACACCAGAGTTCTTTCTATTCAAAAAGGTACTCTATTAAACTTCATTGTTCATTTTTAATGTAATTTTAACTAGCATACTTGATTTTCAATCTTGCTTTAAGAAACCAAGATTTATTGAGTGCAGTGCTTAAGTATGTAACAGGATGGGCGAAGGCCATTTGAGTTGGTTTATCACGGTCAATTTGATGATTCTCGACCATCAAATAGCAAGCCTGTCACTGGGAGGTCAGTGTCCTCGGTTTAATTTTCATTTTTTGATCTGTAGATTCAAATTGCAGTTGTTTGAAGTTAATAACTAAATTGTTCTATAATTTGAGTAGGGATTTAAGTTTGGCATTAGATTGTGTTCTCAGTTGCCAACCAGTATCCACATTGCAGAAACCCAGGTCTTTTTTCTGATATTCCATCAACTCTCTGCATATGTTTCATGGAATCACTAAATTGCATATAGTATGACTAATTCTTACCTTAAAATTTTCCTTCAGTGTTGGATGTAGTATAAAATGGCATCCATAGAAGAAGCAATGATTACTAATCTCATTTTCTGCTGCCCGAAGATCAAATCTCCGAGCAAAGGCATTCAATGCAACACAGATTGTTAAAGCCGAACCAAAAAGCAACGTGATTCCTTGAATCATTTCATCCATCCTATTCCTGTAATGTTTTCTTTTCTTTTCTTTTCATTTTTATAGAGATGTTTCCTTTTATATTGCCAGGGCCGTCAAATGAAGAGAAAAAAAAAGGATATCGTTTTCTTTTTTCTGATCCAAGTTCAGTACAGATTTAACCGAGTGTATCATCCACATTTTATAAAATGTATGAAATATGCAAGTAAATTTTAGTCTTGCTGCTTTGATTGCTTCATAACGGGGAACAAACCATTTTGTGCTGAAAGCAAGTATAGGACTTTCATTGCTAAACTCATCGTTACAGCTTGATCTTTATTTGTCTAATGCCAATAGTTTGTCTTTCTATGATGTGTATTTGTTGGTTGAGCTGCCCCCACAACTCAGTAGGTTATGAAGGCAAAAATTTCTTTTCATGGCCCCCTCCCTATATTGGTTACACCAGCTGCTACCAAACTTATGTTTCATGAAGGTTTCTTGGTAAAGTAACAGCAGGTTTGATTCCCTTTAGTTCATTTATGCAATGGGAAATACAGCATTGCAATCTGCATCTGAAAAACGAGAGAGAGATCTTCAAGCAGAAGTACAGATTCAGCCCTGTCATTATTGCTGCTACATACTTCCAACCTATTCAAATAAATGTCATACTTAACAAGGAAATAATCGGTGAACTGAATTGTTCTTCAGATTTGTTTTTAAATCTATGCTTCTGCTGAAGGTACGAGGCTCGGATGATCTAGAAAAACTGGAACAGTGAATTGTTGCTTTTGGATTTGACTCTCATGCTTGATCTCCTTGAGCATGGCCGTGATGTCTTTCATTGTTGATCGTTCCTCGGCAAAGCATTGACATAGAGGAGAGTCATGCCAAGTTTCGTGGCCATGCTCGTCCAAGACGTGTTGTCCATGGCCACATGCCCATGACACGCCAAACTCATTTACTTGCTTTCATGTTATATTACTTTCTTAAGTTTATTTTTCTGGTATGACTTGATTGGCAAATCATGTCTAGACCTGAATTGCCTCAACATGTATTATAGAGGACCAAGTAGTCATTAAACATTCAAGACCAAGTATTATAATCTCTCTTCCTTACATGTTTTTTGTAACGACCCTAAATTTCCACATACTCAGAGTCGCAACTAACGTCTCATGCTCACCTATAATGCGAAATATAACTTTTACATGAACATAATTGATGACATAAACTTAAAAAAAAACGTTTAAAACAACTTCTTCTCTAGAAAACACACCATGGTCTTACGTGTTTAAATATGAAATACTGAAATTGAGAGAAAATAAAAACAAATACAAAATAATTTAAAACAATGAAATGCAAAACAACTTATTCTAATTTAAGACTAGAAATTTAAATATGAATCTACCCTATGTACGGTCTGAGTATTTCAGAAATACTCAGTGGCCCCACTATCTGCAATCATGATTTAGGGACCTATCTCTAATCATCTTAAGGGTGGCCTCCAGTCTCGGATAAATTGGATGTGTAGTACTTCTCTACACACGACTCACACGTGCGAGTGTGAATCCCCAGGGCGCTCGCACACCCCCTGGACCCTCTGGTCAAGCTAATCTGTAGCGACGTCTGGAGGTCAGCGGAACCTCATAGTGTCATGCGCCTCATGAACACCCTCATCTGTGTGCATTCACACCTGTGCGCATTCGCGCTCATCATATGGTGCGCGTCCGCACTCATCATCTCTAGGGAAAGTAGCCCTATGCTTATGAACATACAATATGCATGAGGTCCCTCTAAATCCATCATAATGTCTCTTCTGACACAACCCTCTAGTCTCATCTCTTTGTTACTCTAGGTAACACATACTCGTGGATATTTATATTAATATCATTTTCACGCTCTTAGGGTTGTGTCCTATGTCGATCTAACGACATGATGCAATATGACACTCATCATCATATAGCATGCTCAATATGGAAAATATCATCATATTAAGGTAAACATCACGCAATCATCATACTTATCATATTGCCACAAAGTGCATCAAACATATCAAGTACGTCATTCATCAAAATATATTTATACTGCGCACATCATTAAGTATTGTAACCCACACATCATCATAACTCATATGCCGTATCGTACGACATAGTTCATACATCATCATAACTCATACAATTTTTAGCCTATCATATAGTAAGACCACTTACCTGATTAGCTTATACGGTTGTCACCAATTTATCTTTAATGAAAGTTCGATTTTTCCCTTTGTATCCAAGCCAACCTATAAGAATCCATGACATCAATTTCATGTTCAATTCTCTAACTGTTACAATGGTTCATGTGCTAAACTTCATGCGAGCATTAAAGACTTTGCATGGATAAAGTCTTGGAACGTTATAATATACCTTTAAATATATATACACATATTATATATATATATTCTATTTATATTAAGATTTCATTTTCTATTTTTTATTTCGAGTGACTTCTCTCTTGTCTTTTGATATTCTTTTGTACTCAGCTTTTCTCTCAATTTTTGTTCAAGATATATTCTTGACCAATTTTTAATCAATTCTTACTTAATCATATTATTGGTCAATTCTGATCGATTCTTACTCCCAACTCTTCCTTTTTATTTTTCTCTTCCTCTATTTTTTTCTTTTGATTTTGTATTTTGGCCTTATATGTATTTTTTCTTTTAGTTCTTTCCTGCCCTTTCTATTTTTTTTTTTCTCGGTATGCTTTCTCCGTATTTTCTCTTTTACTTCTTTATTGCTCTATGTATTTCTCCTACTCTTTATTTATTATTATTTTTCTTTTCCCTGCATTTCTACTCTTCTCTCTTTCCTTTTGATTTTGGATTTTGTTTACAGTATTTGGCCTCCTATCCTCTATATATATATATATATATATTTCTTGTCTTTTCTTTTGATTTTGTTAACAGTATTCTGGCCTCTCTACAGTCTTCTCATTTTTTTGTATTCTAATTAATTCTTCTTTCCAAATCTTTCTTTATCATTTTTTTTCCTTTAATTTTGTTAAAATCTAAAATTCATAGATAAATTTTTTCTTTATCTTATATGTATTTTTTTTTCTTCCTCTAATTTTGTTAAAATCTAAAATTCACAGATAAATTTTCATTCCAAATCTTTCCTTTCTTCTTTCCTCTTTCCTTTCTTATTTACCTGTTAATTTTTTTTTTGTTCTGATTCTTCTCTTTTACTCTCTATTTTGTATTTACTTTCTATCTTTCATTTTACGATTTGTTCTGTATTTTCTTTTATTCTATTGACAAATATTTGCCTCTATCTATTCTAATTATTTTCTATGACCTAACATCATAACCAAAAATCTAAATAACTAGACAAGAGAAATAGGGATCTAATTCTGAATAATTAGACAAAGAAAAGGAAATCTGTTCTAGTTATTTTCTATGACCTAACATCATAACCAAAAATCTAAATAACTAGGGCAAGAGAACCCGGGATCTAATTCTGAATAATTAGACAAACGAAAAGGAAATCTGATCTAGATAAATGAAAAAAAGATCAGAGATCTGAAACATGACTTACAGTAATAACAACAAGATCTCTCTCCAGATTAAATCTCCAGCTCTCCTTGTAAATCTGGTTGTTTTTATTTAGTTGGGAGAGGAAGGAGGGGTTAGTGATAAGTAGTTTAGAGAAAATTATTATTTTAATTATTTAATTATTATTTTTTTTTTCCTTACATTTTTTATGCAATTGACTTTCACGATGCTTACTTCCAACATGTTTTTAATGATTTCCTAGTCCACGTTTTCTAAAAATCCCTCTCTCCCAAAATGTAGCTCGAGGCTCGACCATACACCTGAATTATTTGCGAAATTCAATTTTGACATGACTAGCTTGTTCGATGAGATAGTCCGCTACCATCGACCGACTTATCTTGATAGAAGAAGAAATGTTGTTCCTAAAAGAAGTTCTTGACACCGTTCGCTTCTTGGAAGGACGAGTGACAGAATTGAATTGAAAAGTCGAGGGCATAGACGCAATCAACCGCCGCCTAGATGGGTTACTAATGTTTAGAGTTGACTCCCTAGAAGAAAGAGTTGCCCGAACAAGTAGCTCAGAACGTATTGGTAGCTTCGATAGCTCTGTCACACACATGAAGGAACGTGTTGAATAGCTCGGCGGTTTGTAGTAGAACATTCTGAAGTAGGCTCTTTTTCTTTGAAATTCAAGTCTCAATACTGTTTCCTAAGGGATTACTATATTGGAAAGAGTAAGGTTCTTTTCGAAACGCGGTGAATAGCCATGGATGGTACCCTGCCGGCAGTTGAACAAAAATTGGCTGGGAGCAAAACTTTTTTTTAGTGTTGGTTGCCGATCATATGTGTCGAAATCAACAATTTGAGAATTCTTCACAATAATGCCAAAAAATATTGACCGTGACATAGTTTTTTTGCATGAGTGCTTTGAACGACCCAATTAGGGTTTTCAAATTAGAATTACGATTTTAAACTTGTACATACAATGTTGTAGGCTTTTTTTTATTTTTTATTTTTTATTTAATTCTAGTCCCATTACTTTTTCCTAACCGAATATTGAGATGTTGGAATGAGAAAACAACTTTTTTACACTGACTTAGAACGCGAGCGAAAAGCAGCCGATGGTACCCGACGTGGGTTAACAAAAATTGTTTTAGAAGTGAAAATATTTATGGATGTTGGTTGCCAGATTGAAATCATTAAATTTGAGCATTCCACATAACAATGTCATCATGGCTCGGTTTCTCGCGTGTGTGCTTCGAACGGCTCGAATAAAATTTCCAAATTAAAGTTTCGGTTTTAAGCTCGTACATTTAGTGTTGTATGCTTTTTTTCTTCAAAATTCAAGTCCCAGTACAGTTTCCTAAGAAAGTATTGAGATATTGGAAAAAGTTGCTGATGGTACCCCGTCTTGGCTCAAACCAAAATTTTCTAGAAGTGAAACCATTTTTGGGTGTTGGTTGACATTCATATGTGTCGAAATTATTAAATTTGGGCATTCCTCACAACAATAATGTCGAAAAATATCGACCGTGACTCAATTTTCTCACGCACATGCTCCGATTGTTCCTCTTAGGGTTTCGGTTTTAAGCCCATACCTACCCTGCTATAGGTTTTTTTTCTTGAAAACTCAAGTCCAGTCCTATTTCTAAGGGAATATTGAGATATTGGAAAGAGAAAGTAGTGTTTGGAATTGGCATAGAATGCAAGTGAAAAGCAAAAATATTGGTTGTGACTCTATTTCTTCGCATGAGTGCTGTGAACGACTTAATTTTAACGAACAAATTGAATATATGTACATGTATTCGATTTTACATTTGTTTTGGAAATGTTGTCCAACATTTTAAAAATCCCTCAAAATTTTATGGTATATTTATCTTCTATTGCATAGTATATTAGTTGCATCCCGTATTTCAATGCCTCAAAATTCAGGTGGTGACAAATTGGTATTAGAGCAGATGAGTTTAGATCTTGTCGAGAGTCTTTAACTTTGTGACTCAACCCGCCTACGCGCTCGGTCGTGGCTAGGTAAATCATCTAAATTTGAAATGGTTGAATAAGATTATTGTGATTTGGTAGCCTAATCGATTTGTTGCCGTTTGTTGAATAATGTTTGAAACTGGTTTTGACCCAATCCATTTCATGATAGATAATGGGTGTTGGGAGAAGAGGAAGGCCCGTAAGGGGCGCTGCAGTTCCGCCACCCGAGGCAAAGTAGTACCCACCTCAATATGAGGCTGAACAGATACCTCTAATCGTCGACCAGGTTATGCATCGACACAACTGCCCTGAATAGGGTGAAGGAGAACCGTGCCAGAGAGACCCCCTAGAAGTGGCTCCTTAGACACCAGCGCCGCCTGCCCAACTCTCTGGGACCCTCACCTTCAAGATTCTTCATTGCCCAAATTATATGCTGAATCAATCCTAATAAGGGTCTAGTTTTAAGGGTCTAGTTTCATAGGGACCGTTCACGGAGGCGTTTCTTCTAAAATATTAGCCTATTTTGGCTTGCATAAAAAATCAGACAACCTTTCTGGAGTTGAAGCAGGGAGATGGATCGGTTGAAAACTATAATCTAGAATTCGACAGATTGGCTACTCTAGGAACCTAGTAGACCTCCATGACATTCAAGAATAACTAAGGTAGCTTTCCATGCTAATAACAGTATGAACGGCGTCAATAGAGTTTCCACTACCCTTTCCACTTTGGTACTAATACTCTTAAATACTATTGAGCTAGGCCTAGGTCGGTTAGGCTAGTGCGTCAAGATGATCACATGCTCTAACCTTGTGGAAATGGCCAGGAGTCTCCTCAACTCTGTTAAGAATGCAATGAGAGCTTATAAGTAAGTTGTAAGTTGCTTACTGAGATAGTTTTATACTCACCCATTTTTATATTTTTTTTTTCAGGTGAGTGATGTCACTGATCAAGATGAACGAGTGCTCAAGAGCTTTACGACCACAAAGGGGTGTCAACCTATAGCATCTATGTTTGTCTACATTTCCATCGGTTGTCAATCTATTTATTTCATATCCCAATCTCATTCCCCCCGTGATAAATAATTTGAACATAACTTGCTTTGTAAACATTTTGTATTTGATTTAGTAATGGTGTTGAATAACTTTAAATAGCACAAAATTCGACCCAAAGCATTTTGGAAACATGCTTTGTTAGGACATGTTTTTGAGATGCTCTTTGCTTGATATATCGTTTTAAGCTTCTAATAAAGTTTTTCCTTTCAAAATTACGGGCACATTTGAAAGAATATTCTTACGTAAATTATCACTATCATTCGATCTTCTCTTCAAAGTTGTGTGATCTACATTGTATCAATACATTCGAACAACTCATACTATTCATAATACCGGCTGTAGTTTGTTTTAAGAAAACTTTTTTAGTGTGAAAGTTTAAACAATGTTACACAACCACATAGCATACTCACAAATTTGCTTAATTGAGGTATGAGGGTACCAGCTTTTGTGCCTTTTATTGTTCATGTTTATGTTGGGTGTAAAAGAACAATAACCTCTCCCTTTAGAATCATCACCTAAGTCACAAACCCATAGCTCAAACCATGTTTCACAAATCTAGTTATAGATTGTTCCACACAAAATAATATTAGTGTTGAGAGATTTTTTTCCTTTATAACAATTCATTGCATGCATTGCATGTCATGTCTTTTTTTTTTCCTGCCTTCTTTGACCTTTCTTTCGAGCTCTAATCATCCCAATCTACTATCACATATCACCAACAAATAGGTAAACCAAAGCCACAAGACAAAAGCCATTCCCAACAAAAGGTTAAAGAACTACAAAAGGCTAGTAAAGGGTGGCATTCCCCCAAACTTCATGTGGCCTCCTCTCTCCTTGGCATATGGCATTGAAGCACAAAAACCAGACCTTTGGACAGTTGCGTAAATGGCCTCAGAAGAGCTGAGATCAGGTAGGAACTATGTACATCTACATCAGTAAAGAAACACAAGACAATACAGATTCATCATCTACTGATCCTCCAAAATTGTTTCAAGCATGAACATTAGAGAACTCTTGAGCTCTCACCATTCCTAACCTCATGTCTGACCTCTTCATCATCGCCTTTTGGTCACAACTGTATTTTTGTTGGTCTCATAGTTCGAATCTACAGCCACTTAAGCCAGATTACTGATCTTGTTTAACCAATAAGTCATGACAGAGGAGAGCAAGAAGAAACAAGTGACCTAGAATAATGAAGAATACTGGTGTTGATTAAAGGACTTATAGGGCTTTGCATTCAAGGTAATGACTCAGTAAAACTTGTCTCAGAAGCCACATTATTTCTTGGTTGTGCAGCTTGCTTTCCCCGGAACACACCCCACAAATAGTACTTTGTTTGAAATCCTGCACATGAATTTGCTCAGTGCTCTAAATATAGCATACAAGATGCTGGAAATTGCATTGTTAAATGAATTGTGCCTACTAGGAAAAACACTACGTATCCAAGAAAAGCTCAGAAATTATATCTCCAATGCAAAGAAACCTCAAAGTCGATACATATCATTCCTAGTTTTCAATTTTCCAAGATTGACTCAACAAACTGAAAATTATGAAAAGTTCATGTGGCCTTACTCCAGTATCGCATTGGTAACATGGACGAAGTAAAAACTAATAGCTCAGCATTTTTCAGGACAGCTTTCATGGCTAGGTCCTTGCACATCATTGCATTGACCAGAAGATCAAATGCCCTTTGGCTTCTGCAACCACCCAAAAATAAAGACATTGTCACAAATAGGAGCAGGAGAGAGACAGACAGATAGAAATGAAAGTAGAAGCATAGAATTCATTACCTTTCGTCTTCTGGAAAGAAATAAAGAGCAATACTTAGATCAGTTGGCCCTAATTTCTCAAATCCTCTAGGCCATATTTCACATCTACAGAGTAATTCAACAGGGAGTGACTCGGGTAACGATTTTGCCTCCTCATACACTTTTGAGCATGCTAAGCTAGACATATGGGCAACAAGTACACCAACTCTGGCAAAACTTTTGACCCAAAATTTTAACGTTCCCCTGTCATGACCAGAACACCAGAACGCCAGTTTTACTATATTTTACAAATTTGATATAAAATAAACATAAATAAAAGGCTCTTACCTCCAAATGGGATCTACTATAGGCCGTGCAACATAACAGTTGTGCCCTAAAAAGTTGGATGCATCAGATGATGTTGTGACTTCACCATGATTGGCCCCACCTTCTCGAACTTTCTCTCCCAGCCCTCCAGGTGTCGTATCATTTTTCTTTGATTGTTCGACACACTTTTTCTTTTTTAACTTGACATCAGATTTTACTGCTGGCAACATGATTGCCTCACAATCTTCACAAAACCAAGTAACATACTCATCAAAAGTTTTTGGCAATGCATCTAAGCAATAGCTGCACAATAAAATGACCAAGGTTGAAGGTACTAAATAAATTAGATATCTATTTCCTTAATAAAATCAACAGTGAAATGCGATCCAATCAAGCATTCAGCCAAGCACGTAATTAGCATCGAAGCAAAGGAAATTACTCCATTGACATATTAGATTTCCGCCCTTTTACAATCTTCTATTAAAAAAGAGGGGCCAAAATTTGAACGAACCACAAGCGATCTTTTGCATATCAACTAATGGATAACAAACATGAAGGTTGTTTTGGGCACATCTCTGCACAAGAAGTCTCAATGGCTCAATCTCTCTCTTTTTAATTTATATTTAAAATATTAGCTTTTGTTAAGATGAAAGAAAGAAGAAAGCAAGGCCAACAAAAGTTTGAAAAAACCAATACAGAGAGTAAAAAAAAGATAACAATTTCAAAAGCCAGCCCCAACGCTCACTAATCAAACATAAAGGGTAATTACAGAAAAAGCAAAACCTGATGAAAGGAGTCAAAATGTGACGATCGCAAACCTATACGCATGACCTATTTAAATTTTGGAGACATATTTCTTTCCAATGAAATTAACTACAGCAAAGCAAAATAACCAGCTTGATAATACTAAGTGCCTTTTTATCCTGAAATGATGGATACAAGCTACTTGACGCTCTCACCTTGTGAGGTCAAGCGCACAAAGTAAGAAATTTAACCATCTTTAGATTCTTTCACCTTCTTTATCCTGTCCTTTTATAATTAGTTTCATTAGTTGAAACTTCTCTTATAATATATTTAACTATTATTAGATTCTTTAGGAAATAAGAAATTTAATTTCTCCAAACAACTATAATACCTGAGTTGTGTTTTTAAAGCAACTTGAATGAAAATCTATTTATATCTCATCATGTACCTTTTAGTGCATTTAGCTAAACTTTATCTTATCATTGAAAAAGGCCTTTTCCCGATTATTATTTTCTGTTTACTATAAAAAATAATCAAGAAAAAAAACTATAACGTACACGCCCCTCCATTTATTGCAATTACATTTTAAAAAAATAATAATAAATTATGCATCTCACTTCATGAGGACAATATCTTATGCCTTTTGCCTACAACATAACAAAAAATGAAATGATTACAATGTTATTTCATGCCTATAAAACACGAGTTGGTGTCAAGTGTCAGATCTGTGGCTCCAGTACATGAGTATAAAAGATTAGACAATTTGATACATTTAACAATTATAGAAAACCAATGATAATTAAGATTTGAAATAATGAAAATGCTACATAACCAAACATAACCAATGGTCAGTAAAGCATACCGATGGATAGGATAAGTCTGGCATTTTTTACAATAATTTAAAGCCTCAACAAAACCTCTGTCTCCACATTTCTGACAAATATCAACCTGCAGTGTTAGAAATGGCCATTATTGACAATCTAAGAACCAAATAAACTGCAGAAGTGAAAGCGCTCTTCAGAATAAAACGTGAGTACTGGCACCCTATTTTCTCCCTCACCAGTATTTGTTATGAACAAGAGTTACAAACCCACCAATTTAGCAGACAAGAAAAGCTATTTCTTGCACAAATTAATCCTTCATTCTTAGGATGAGTGGAGGTCATCGGGTATAGAAGACTTCTTGTTAAAGCTAGATCTAGGCAAGCCATGTGATAAGGTGGATTGGTCTTTCCTTGATGCCATCCTTGAGTTGGAGGGCATTGGCATAGATGGAGAAGGTGGATATTGAGATGTCTTTCTTCGAAAAATTTCTCTATCCTTAAAAAATGGTCGTAGAGGTAAAGGGAAAAGACCTTCAGCAAGGAGATCCCCTGACACCGTTTTTATTCACTATTGTAGAGGATGCTCTCAGTAGATTGATTTATTATTGCTGTGAGAAGAGATTGATTAAAACCTTTGTAGTTGGGAACCTCACAATTGAGGTCATGAACAACAAATATACGGACGAGGGTGATAATTTAATGGCATGGTGGACTATTGTCAACTTGTTACTGCTTCGTTCGAGCCTAAGTTTAAATGTCCCGTAGCTGGCCTTACATGGGATAAACATGGACATCGAGAGGGTGCTTCAACAAGCTACTTTTTCTTTTGTAGCAAAGTGGAAATATTCCCCTTTAATTTTTTGGGGTTTCCCACTGGTGGAAACTATGGAGCAATAGTGGCATGAGACTCCTTAGTAGAAAAGTTTAGAACTAAAGTTGACAAGTGGAGAAGGGTGTCTCTTTCTAAAGGGGACATTTACTCTCACTCATGCGGTGCTAAATACCCTTCTGTATTACTTCTTTTCTCTTCATGAGAGCTCCTGTCAAAGTGATCAATTGCTCAGAGAAATTTTTAGAGATTTTGTCCGGGATGGCAGTATACTTAAATCAGCTTCTACCTAGTTGCTTGGAAGTGGATGTCTTTACCTACAAATTATGGTGGTCTTGGGGTTGGCTCTCCCCACCAAAGAAACCAATCTCTCTTTATGATGTGGACTAACAATATGAAGGACAAAGAGCTTTTCAGCTTTGTTGAGTTTGTGGTGGGGGTGGGAGAAGAATTAAGTTGTGGGAAATAATGTGGTGTGGGCTGGAATCTTTAGGTAAAAAAATCCTAAAGATTCAAAATTGGGTGATTTCTCCCTCAATTTGCTGTCTTTGCTCTCATAGGGAGGAATCTTTAGACCATCTGTTTCTTCATCATCCTTTTGCAACGAAAGGGTGGCAGACTATTTGCAATGAGTTTGGGGTGGATCTTCGTTTCCTTGCGAAGATTGATAACTGGCTTTTGGCAATGCTCGATTGTAGTTTTTTTGGCAGTAAGGGAAAAGACCTTTGGAGATGTATTACACCCTCCTTCCTTTGGGGCCTTTGGAAGGAAAGGAAAAGCAGATGTTCGAATATACATTTTCTTCTTTCGAGTCCCTTTAGCATTTGGGGCAACACAATGCCTCTTGGTGGTACATATTATACTAAATTATTTTGTAATTACAACCTTCTAATGATTATAAACAATTGGAAGGCTCTCCTTCGTAAGTTTTGTGGGGAGGAGTTATCTCTATACCCTGCCCTTGGGCTATTTTGTTGGTTCTTCTGAGGAATATACGTCTCTGTTTCTTATCAAAAAAATAAATAAAATAAGCATCATAAAAGTATCTCGGCCTTTCCCACTTCCATTTGCAAAATTGTAAGCATAGTTCTGTTCTTTTAGAACAGTAAAACAACAAAGAGATTAAGAAACAAACTTGTTGACGTTACATTGTCAAAAACCAGAGAAAAAGGAGATGAAGCTTAAACCCTTCATCTACGAAGTCATAACAACAACAACATCATGTACATAAATATCAACATGGAACATTTTGTGTCAACTTCAGCATAGTTCAATGGTTATGGCACCCAAAATCTTCTCAATAGGTTCAATGTTGTAATTCTCCAAAAAAATAAAAAAATAAAATGTGGTATTGGTTGAAGCAATCCTTTCTTATGTGGCCCAACATGCCCATTGCTCTAACGAAACCCCAATTGTAAGGCAGCCAAAGGAAACAAAGACATGCGCTCAAACGAACAGGAAAGGGAAAAAGAACAAAGAATCCAAAAGATCTCACCATTTCAACATCAGAACAGTGAAGCAATGAGCAGACCAACAATATTCGCCGCTATAAACGCGTATGCAGGGAGCTGCGGACAATGCATCGCAAAAATCAAGAAACGATTGATTGAACAGAATTAGAAAGGAGCGAAATGACAGAAAACGCAAAACTCATTACCCTCTCTTTCTCCAGAAACCAAAGAGCCGAGGGGAAAATTTGGAGTCCACAGTGGAGGGCACGCTGTATCAGTTGGCTGGTTTGTACTGCAACTTGAACAGGTCTAAAAGTTGTCTGCCATGGCAGAACCCTCCTTTCTTTTGCAGAAAATGGCAATTGCCATGAATACAGAACATACATCAGCAAGTCGGTTGTTTAAAATTTTCTAATTTAATTTTTTTTCTATAATTCTCCTCAAATGTCGGTTGTTTAATAGGTTTGTCCCATGAACTCGAAATCGAATCAATTCAATTCGGTTTCGAAAAATAAACACAATCCAATTCTTATATAGTTTGGGTTGGGTTGAATGTATAGGAGACAGGTGTTACAATCGCATTTTGATAGCAACGGACCTGCGATTGTGGGATACTCACTTCTCAGCAACGAGTGAGTTAAGCCTATTCGTTCTTGTATTGCCTATGGCCAAACAACGTATGCTCGAGCCTCTAGCCCTAGTTCAAGAAGAAGATTTTAGAAAACATGGCCGAGAAATTTCAAAAGAAAGTTTTGAAAGCAAGATTTGAGAAATTGAAATTTGTAGTATATGAAAATATAAGCCAAACACAACAACAAAAGCTTGCTGCATATAACTATTGGGCAGGGAGAAGTTGGCAACTAGTCATATCCGCTGCGTTGTAGTACATTTTAAGACATTTCATGTCTGCCAGACCTACACATGATTTTTCCGAAACGTCTCACCTCTTAGAAATATAAAAGTAAAACACTACAACAAGAGTTTGGCTTGTCATAAGCATGCGGCCATGGGCAACACGCCTTGGACGAGCATGACCGTGACAACGGGCACCCTAACCTAGCGGGTTAGCATAATGACCCAATTAAAATTAAAGCACCTCCTAGGTAAGAAAATCCATAAAACCTGAGACTTTTAGTTTAAAATTCTCCCTGAAAAAAGTACAGAATTCTGGGTTGGAGGAAGAAGAAGACGACCAAAAGTTAACAGTCAAGCCTTACAAGTCAACGATTAGCCCAAATTTGACCTCTTTAATGTTTTTGCCATTTTTGTTATCCTAAACTCTAATTTATTCTTATTCATTTTGTATGCTATTCCTATTTCGACTCGATTTAGGACCTACTCAATAAGTTTGGAAAATTTTTAAATGTTGGAAAGCACGAAAATTGAGAGCTCAAACGTAAGAGAGTGAGTAAGTAGCCAACTCGGTCTTTTCTTAAGATATACTTGTGGGAATCGCTTAGAAAAGCCTTAGAAAATTAATTTAATTCAATATTAATATTAATGTAATGCGAAAGAATTAGGCCAAGAATCTTAGGTTAAGGAGCTTGATTTGATGTTTTACTCGACAAATTCCTAATAGGACCTAAAACTGGTGAAAATAACAAAAATGCTCTACCACCATTCATAGCATATACAAACCTGGAATGAATTTTGCATGAGACCTATTGTGAGGTTAATAATGAGTTATGGATGATTTTAAGGTCATATCGTAGTTGTGGCCAGATGAGCCAGCTGAATGTTAGCAAACCTTAAGGTTTTAGTCAAAGGGGTTAAAAGACAATCGTAGTTGGGTTGAATTATGGCCCTCTTTACGCTCGGAGAAAAGATGGACTAAACATCATAACGACAGATACCTACATTTTATTTGGTTACCTAGTTTTGTGAGGTTGAACTGCGAATGTAAAACCTCAATATATCATGATTACTGCATCTACCTTAGTATTAGTAGTGCTAGCGGCTAACAAACAAGTTAAGATTGACAAGTAACAGTCATGTCGAAGACGGTCTTCATAAGTCATTATAGTCATTATGAGATTACTTGTTATGTTTTTTGACCTGGCTAATGCCCCTACAATATTTATGGAACTAATGAACTGAGTGTTTAAAGACTTTCTCAATATGTTCGTTTTTATCTTCATTGGTGATATACTTGTGTACTCCAAGATGGACGCAAATCATAAGAATCACTTGAGAAAAGTCTTATTGGTGCTAAGAGTACAATCGTGAATTCTAGGGACGGGGTTGCGTGTTGATGCAAAAAAACTGTAACAACCAGATCCACCGTCAGCCTATATTGTCCTATTTGGGTTTTCCTTTCGGGCTTACCCTCAAGGCTTTAAAACGCGTATGCTACGGGAAGGTTTCCATACCCTTATAAATGGTGTTTTATTCTCCTCCCTAACCAATATGAGACACCCAGTTTAAAAACTCAAAATTCAACACCAAGGTCCTCGCAATAGAACTATGCAAGAACTTAAAGCTCAAGAACAGAGCCTAAGAACCTAAGTTCTCAGGACAAGAACAAGAACATGACAAGAAATGAGTGTGATGCCCTAGCATTCACTATAGATACGACCGAGACCCTACAAGTAGACTACTTACTAAGTCTTTGTATTCATTCTATATTTTCCATGTTTGATAGAATATCAAGAAAAAGCTGATCGAGAATGGAAGCAGAAATCAAGTTTTTAATTGTTTAATGTTTTACGTTGTTTTGTTTGTAGAGCCCACCATATTCACACTATTAAACTTTATTTTAGATTTGTAAATAAATTTATATTTATCTTTTTTTTAACCCAAAAAGTTTTATTGTATTTTACTGTCCTCTTTTTATGTTTTCACGTTTTTAGTTAGTCATGACTTCTTAAAATTGGGTCTCAATTAAAATGGTATGAGAGCAAAAGTTTTACTTGGTACCACCCAAGAAACGCTACGCCTCAATCAGGTAGGTACACCTTTAAGACTTATAAGTTACTTACACCTTTAGGGTTACTTATAAGTTAAGACTTCAGGTGACCTTAACGGCCCAAACCCAAGGACAATTAATTACCCTAAACCTAAAGTTTCAAGAGGAAATAATTAAGGTTATAAACCTCTAGAAGCATAATTGTCTAAGTGAAAGCAGTATTTAAGAGTTCAAGAGTAATTGCATGGATTAAGGAAGGCATTGAAAGGCAAGGAAAGAAGGACTTAAGACCCTAGGAATCCACCAATATGTCTCGTACGATAAGGAACAAAAGGGACCTCTAAGATACAACCTTGAAGGAACAAGGTTGATTATGTCAAGGCTTATTGAGCCTAAGGACGAAGATAAGTCTTAAGATGTAAGGTAATGCAAGGAAGACTTGTCTTCCCCACAAAAGACGTTGAGAATTCTGTCAGGATGAACAAATGTCAAAATAAATACATGACTTCAAAACATAAGTTAAGGACTAAAGGACGAAAGGACAATTATAAGAACAAGCCAAAGAAGGACAAACTTTAAAGGAACTAAGGAAAGAATTAAGGGACCCAAGAAACGTCAAGGGGCCTAAGGAAGAAATTTTCAGTTCTCTATCAAAGAATTAGGGAGTCGAGTCATTTGAAAAAAAAAAGGACCTCGAGAAGAAATTTCAAGATGTCTGGGAAGGAAAAAAAATAATTTAAAAACATAAATAAATAAATAAAAATTTGAGAAAAAGTTTATATTTATAGAATAAAATATTCTTAAAAAATAACAAATTACAAAAATGACCTTGACGTTCAAGATATTTATAAAAATAACACTGACCTTAGATTTGGTGCAAATTCAATTTGAGAATTGACCTATGGAGGGTCCTACCCTGATTTTGGCTCCCATACATGCTACTACGATGGTAACAGTGGGAATTTTTCTTGTCGCTCGGCTTCTTCTACTTTTTGTAGTAATACCTTATATCATGAATCTAATAGATTTTATAGGTACAATAGCAGGACTATTTGGAGCTACTTTAGCTCTCGCTCAAAAAGATATTTAGAGAAGTGTAGCTTATTCTACAATGTCTCAATTGGGTTATATGATGTTAGCTTTGGGTATAGGGTATTGAGCTGCTTTATTTCATTTGATTACTCATTTTTTTTCAAAAGCTTTGTTGTTTTTCGGACATGGGTCCATTATTCACTTAATGGAATTGGTGGTTGGATATTCTCTAGATAAAAGCGAGAACATGGGTCTTATGGGGGTTTTAACTGCACAAAATTGTTCATATCTTAAACTTCAATCGTTGGATAGAGCTGAAATTTGAGTATGTTAGATTGAACGGCTGATATTCAAACCAAGATTGGTAGAACCCTCATCAGAGTATATATTTCCAACGGTCTATCCAGAAACTTCAAATTAAATTTCAACGCGATTCTGGAATGATTAAAGGCTGTGCAAGCTTCATCGAAAAATAAAAAGTTGTAGGCAATGATTTGGGACAAGAATCAAATCATGAGAATTCCTATAACTCGAGAAACAAGCCTTTAGATTTTGAGTATTCTTTCCTCATATTTCTTCTAAATTTGAGAGTCATGCATACAATTTTTCCTCAAACCAATTTCTACCCATGTTAAATGAGTTTTTCAACAAGTTTCTGAAAGGATTCAAGAGCTTCTAAATGTATTCCATGTTAAAATGCCATCACTAGTCCAATAGGGTTAACCCTAACCATATCACTAGTCCAATAGGGTTAAGCACAGCCATCGTATGAGTAATTATATTTATGATTGAGGATTTTAGGAATAAATGTAGGAAAACGATTTAGGTATTTTAGAAAAAACATGGAGAAAATTTTAGGAATAGATTGATTACCATCCAGTATAAATATCCTCCACTCTAACTAGTTCATCCTCTCAAGAAATCCCAAGCAATACAAAGTAGTAATTTCTACCGAGTGTCTTGTAAATCTCTTCTTGATTGGCTCTAATAAAGTGTGCGAGTGTTTTCCACATAGAGTTGTGTTCAACATTCCACCTCCATTAACAGTCAAGATATCAAAACTCAAAATGCAATCGGAGGCTACAAGCAAATTTCCTTTACCTTCCTGAAACTAAAGAGGTCAAGTACGAGGGTAATTGAACGAAACTCCAAATTCTTCATCCACGTTCCATCAAGCTTCAATCCAAGGATACCTTGAGCTTCGCAACATTGTGAGGAGAAGATTTCACTTTAAAAATCGTAATCCAAGGTGGTGAAGAAATCATGAGTCAAGGTGGTCTCTATCGAGTTGCCAAAGAAATATCGATTCCCCTCGAAAAACATATGTAAAGAAACGTGAAAGCTTGGTCCAAGAACCTAATAAATATCTCAACATAGCTATCCAAGTACATTTTATGGAATTATCACCAAAGAAAAATCAAAAGCCTCACTTAAAAAGTAGCACTCAA